GTTTAAATCTTGAGTTAGGCATTTATTAAATATAATAGCCAAGATAGTTGTACCACCCCTGCCTGGTTATGCAGGAGATAACTGAGAACTGTGATCAATACCTCCTGAGTGCTATCCCACAGCCTATAACACAGACAATCCATTTTCTTACTCAACGCTCTAAAGTTTCAGCCAAATTACCTTCTCAAATCGTCACCTCTCAGACAGGGCAAGTTGGAGACAGCAAAAATTGTCATGGTTCATTTGGGTCTAACAATTGTTTCTTGAGAAGGAAGCACATTACAGTCTCCTTCAAGACAGGCACCAACCGCCTGTCACTCAGAGAGAATGTCACACCACCTGGATTCAACCACACATTTTCTTCCTCATCAACCAGAAAGGTACATGGTGGCTGGGATAACAGACCCCAAAGATCTGTCTACCTCTTTTGGGAGTTATCACACTCTTCCCAGATAACTGAACAGGACCATGCTTTAGCCAACTGGACTGAATTTTTCCAGGCAGTCCAGCTCCAAGCAGATATGAGGGATTTTAACTGTCAGATGCCAAGAATATTCTTCACACTGGCTCTAAAGTGTTCTTGTGACCATCTCTCCCTAGCAGATAAAAAGTTCACCTTAAAAGGGCCACTGCCAGCCATCTGTGAACAGCAGTAAAATAGATACATTTAGCCCCTCTTAATTGCCATGGTGTAATCCCTAACATAGGGGACGCAATGGCTCATCTGAGCTTGTTGGCTGGAAAGCTGACAGCATGGGTTCAAAATCCGAGTGCCATGCAACAGGGTGAGCTCCCGTTCCTTGCCCCAGCTCCTGCCCATCTAACAGCTCAATAGCATGCAAATGTGAGTAGATAAATTGGTATCTTAGGTGGGAAGGTAACAGCATTCAGTGGGCCTTGGCGTATAGTCATGTTGGCCACATGATCATGGAAAGGATCTTCAGACAATGCTGGCTCCCTCGGCTAAGAAGAGATGAGTACCTAGAGTTGGAAATGACTAACCCTAACCCTAACCCTAACATAGGCTCATACTACAGGTGCCCAACTGGATTTACTGTTCATCTTTCTCTATTACTGGTAGCACTTTAGAAGTTCTTGTGTTGTTTCATTTCTTGGGGATCTTTAGAAAACCACAGCACCAGATGGGATCACTGAAGAGTAGAGACTAAATAGGGGCAACCCCAGTCCAAGGTCTAGTTATACCCCCATTCCAGCTGCCAATAATGCCTCAGTGAAACTGCCTACCAGTTCTTCAAGCTACGTCTGAAACTGATCAAGGTCCATTAGTTGCCTAGGGATAGACTGATCAAACAGGTCTAACTTCCCCCTGGTAAGTAGGGGACAACATTAGCAAGCAACCAGACTATAATGACTGTAATACCTCTGTCCTGGATTCATCAAAGGTAATTGACAACAACAAAGGACTGAAGATAAGGTTCTCCACCCTCAGCTCATATCACACCTGCCACAGGACAAAAAAAAATCCCAGATCTTATATGCAACCTCCTATGTGCATCAGGCATTCAGATCCATAGTTGCCATGGTGGTCATGAATTCCGGGGCCCTCCAGACCCTATATCATACAAGAGCATTTAAGCAATTCAGGCAGGGATGTCACTGCACAGTAAGGAAGATAATAAAAATCTGGAGACCAGTTTCAACCACAGAGTCCTCCAATTTTCTGCAGTGCAAAACTTTTGAAAGTGGTTACAGCCTTCTCAGGTGTCCCCTCACTCCCTATCCTTGAGTCATTGCTGCTCCCAAACTCAAAACCCAAGTGAGCATATCTTATAGAATATAGAGGAACAGCTAGGTCAGGGCTTTTCAACCAGTGGTACGGGTATCACCTGTGGTACATTGGCACCTGGCAAGTGGTACGCGACCATCCTAGAAAGATAGTGGGGGAGGGGAATGAGCTGAACCGGTGGCAGCACCGCACAAGCCTGAGCGAGAGATGGCTGGAGCTGCAGGGCTGTCAGGGCTCAGCAGAAGTGCCAGAATCAGTGCCAGGCTCCAGCTGGAGCTCGACACTGATCCTGGTGCTTCTGCTGAGCCCTGAAAAAGCACCAATCAGCTGGAAAGCAGCACTGATCCTGGCGCTTCTGCTGAGCCCAGAAGAAGCGCTGATCAGCTGGAATGTGGGCAGCATCTCCAGGGTCTTGTGATTTACATTCAGATGATTGGCAACTGATTCATATTTCTGACGGTCACAGTGTCCCAGGGTCATGTCAAGTGACCAAAACCTGCTGCAACCACCCAGCAGACGAGGGTAATAAAAACCAAACACTCCCCTACCCCTCCCCTGCTGCCAATCCTCAACAGAAATGCTCACAACAATGAAAACCTCGGATAGGAGGAAGAGCACCGCCGGGTGGGTAGGCAGGTGTCTTGCTTGGCTATGGCTTGGGGGACACTTTTTTCAGGGCCATTGTAATTTCAAACAGTTACTAAGCAAACTGTTGTAAGTGGAGGACTACCTGTACTTTATCAAGTTTTTGACACCTTGCTAGGCGACTGGTGGTACTCGGATGTTGCCATATTCTAAAAGTGGTACAATGGGTGAAAAGGTTGAAAAGCCCTGAGCTAGATAACACGCCACTGGGGATATAGTGATAGAGCTTCAAAAATGAATATTGGGGCAGAAATCAGGTTAAATCACAGACATCAACTGTTTTCTCATCCACAAATCTCTTTGTGGTTGCCTTCTATCTTTCACCATTCTGATGTTACTGTCTGCCTCCCATCTCAGTCTCTCCCAAACCTTGCTCTCCTCCTCCCAGACCACGAGAACCTCCAACTTCACATTCCACTATACATCCAATTGCACACCCTATCTCCATTAGAACACAGCACCCCAAAAGCTGCTCCTGCTCAGGAATCACTAGGGAGACCCAGCTATTGTCATGTACTTAATCCCATAATCTATCTCAACCCTGCTTGCTTCAAACTATCAGAGCCATCTAAAGACACAATTCTGTTTCTACCTCCCAATCCTCCAATCCAGTCCAGGGTGTGTTCCAGATTTAATTACTAAGTAGGCGATCCAAGAGCCAATCCTAGCTGTTAATACATTAGCATAGATCCTCCAGGGTGATTTTCAGAAAGACTCGGGCAGACGACCTACATTTGGAAGCCACAAGGCTATGTTATGGTACAGACCAATATTTGGCATGACCCCACTCCTATTACCCAGACTTCTCACTACCATTCCTCAGATCATTGCTCTCAGATCTGCTGAGAGCTGTATTTCAGGAGGCAAAATTAACACTACTGCAATTCCCAAAACCTCCAACCAGATCTTCTCTCCTGTGATGCCAACAAGCATTCATAAATTCTGGCCCAGGTTCTGCTGAAATCTATGGAGGGAATTACCTCAGTGTAACCAGCAGGCTGACATGTAACTCCCAGTACTTCAGCAGAATACTGATCTTTCTGATTCAACCTTTGGACTGGTTTGAAATAATTCAATGCTTGGTTAGAGCTTGCTCCCAGGACAATATCACCCTGATCATTTCAATCATTGCCTCAGTTATCTCCACCACTAAATAAAATTAATAAGATCCAGTTCCCATGGGGCATCACCTTGAAATAAATGTTTGTGTGCATGTCTGTGTGTGTGCATTTCTCTCTCTCCCTCTCTCCTTCCTCTTCAGTCAGAAAGCATTCAAGAGCAGCTTTCATGTTAATATGTCTGCTACAGCCAAAGCTATGTCAGCAGGAAGATTCCAGAGGTTTCCATTGCCTTCCTTAAATAGATTAGTTTTCAGCATTCGACAACTATAGAGCAAGACCTACTTGTTCTAAAAAAAAAAAACAAGTTTCTGTTTCTATTGTCAGTGCAATACAAGAGATACCAGAGTTTTGGATTAAATTAATTCAATTGTTATGAGACAGCTTCATTGTTTGGAGAATTTTTCTGTTTATCAAAATGTCACTGCCTTTTATTACTGTATTGTTATACTTATAATTTTGTCACTGTGTTGATTCTTTAATGTGATTTTATGCATCTGAATTTCATTAATTTGCTAATGTTAAACAATTATGAGTTTCTTTGCATACCTGTTTCATTCACTCGTTCTTTAAATATTTAAAACGTGTTAATGAAGAATTAACATTAAAATTCAGATATGACATACTTTCAGACATTATTACTTTATTTTGAAATTTAAATGCAAACTTTTGGGACTGCTGTTACATTTCCTCAGCAATTAAATTTTCTACAGGAATGGAAACTATGGGGAAAAAAATCACAAAAATGCTAGGAAGAAAGGTTAGAAAGGAGCAAATGCAAACAAAAGAGAAAGAGAAAAAAAAATCTGTACATTTAACTGGAAGTAAAAAAGATGCCCAGTAAAGGTAAGTCCCCAATGCATTGTATTGTTTATGTCCCATCATACCAAGAAAGTAATGCCTGATCTAATAAAGGACAATTTTGCATATAAACAAGTCTTCAGTGTGAATTCCTAACATCCCTGAAAATGCATTCCAAGATATCTGTGCCATAGATTCCAGCAAATGAGCTCTATGTAGTTAATAACTCCTAACTAGAAATGGTTGTAGACAGTTATATAATCCAATATAGGCCTACTGGAAGCAAATTCCACTGAATCTAGTGGAATATCTGTCTAGTTGACTTTCCCCCCCATCTCAGGTCTTTCTAAAGAACTAGTGTAAAGAAAATAACAGACCGAGATTTCTCTTCTGTTGGTTGGATCAGCCTGTTCAGTCCAGAGAGTACACTATTCTGAATAATGTTTTATTCTTTGCTTTTATAATGTATAACAGCCATTATCAGAGAGGCCTTAGAAGAGGGATCCCCAACCCCCGGTCTGTAGACCGGCACTGTCCATGGCATGCCAGAAACCGATCTGCGCAAACAAGTGAAGCCCCATTCGCAGGATGCAGGCGGCCTGTGAAACCACACCCCCTCCAGTCCACGGAAAAACCTCTCTCCATGGAACTGATCCTTGGTGCCCAAAAGGTTGAGGGCCGCTGCCTTAGAAAATGGCATTTCCAACATTTTAAAAATATAATTATGACTAATATTCCAGTCCTTAGTCCCCATCATGATGGCAAGCTATTATTTCTAGGAAAGATACTCCAATCCATCTGAAAGCGACTAGATTGCAGAAGGCTACACTACTCCTTTTTCTATAGAACACAGTTCCATGTTAGAGATTACTTGAGAAGCTTCCCCATTCTGTCAAAAGTTACTGTTCCAAAATAAATTTAATGTCATTTTTAGAGATGCACAGATACAAATATATACAGCTGAATTAGAATGTTATAACTCTAACAGACAGGCTTAAGACACATTTCAGAATTGCTGAAATGTTGCTTTATTCACTCGTTAGGTAGAGTGGGAGTCAAACTTCATCTTCTTTTTGTACCTCCAAAACCTAAGAAAAAGAGATGGAGAAACAGAAAAAAGCTATTATTAATCAATAGTGAATTCTAAAATAATCTGAATAATGAAATAATAAAGGAGATAAATGCATTCAGCTCTGTGAGCTAGTTTACAAAAATATTTAACCAAGGAAGGGGCACAGCAAATCAGATAGGGCCTTTATTTCTGTATGCTAAGGTCTGATAGCCTGCTTAGGCATTAAGGAATGTAATATAATTTTACAAGATGGCACAAGTGCTCAACCCCTCAATTAAATGACTGAAATATGAGATTGCTAAATCTTGGAAGATTTCAGCACTCTAGCCCCAAATCTTTGACGGTCTCAAGTGAGAATATTTGTGGATTTTATCTGCGGGGAAGCAGGTTATTCTTGCTTTATTAAGATGGAGTGGGTGCATTGCTAATCTCTCCTTTATACTATGCAACCTGAAGATTCTGCTGCTGTTTTAGAACACAATATAGCTCATCAGATCATCCAGACCCTAATTCTATTTAGCATTAATGGAAATACATCTTTTGTTTTAGTGTTATTATCTAGGAAATGACTCAGTGATTAAAATAAAATGTCTTGCATTGTAATTTATATAAGAGTGCAATCCTACATATGTCTACTCAAAGCATACAAATAGGTGGAGGAGATTATGACTGCAGTCTCAGAGACAGAAATATATGAGTTCCTGCCAAAAATATAAACAACACCTTCACTAGTTTGTCAGGCAACTCACCCCCTTCACTTTCCCACTAGCTGAATTCTTGGGTTTGACTATAATGCCAGGTGGTAGAATTCCATTAGGAATTATCTGCCACTACAGGTAGTCCTCAACTTACAACCATTCATTTAGTGACTGTATGAAGTTATGACATTAAAAAAAATGACTTATGACCATTTTTCACATTTTTGACCATTGAAGCATTCCCATGGGTCATGTGATCAAAATTTGGGCGCTTGGTAGCTGGCATGTATTTATGGGGGGTCATGTGATCGCCATTTGTAACCTTCCCAAGTGGCTTCCGACAAGCAAAGTCAATGGGGAAGCCAGATTCTCTTAACAATTGCTTAGCAATGGAAATTTTGAGATCAGTTGTGGTTGTAAGTGAGGACTTTTTTAAATGGGGAGATGCTCAAATCTGAAATCTGGATGAGGCAGAATATGAAATCCCTCTAAGTTTTAAATGAATGGCTGCAGAATAAACAAATGCAGACCTAAGCATTTGTTTATTTACCAAATTTGTAAGCTGACCCAATCTGCATGATTCTGGGGGGTTTAAAAGAATGTTGTCATCCTTGATATTTTTACATTTTATATATTAGATAATTTCTTTTCAGGTCTCTTTTATTTGTTAGTTAATTTGTTGACTTTTATAAAGTGTTTCTAAGATTGTGTATAAGATTGGATCCCGGACCTCTGTCTTGGTCTAAAAATCCTTAGTAATTATGAGACGGCCCCCACACGGTATTTTTTGGACGTGTAAATGCAGTAGGTGGTGATACATTACAAACCAAAAAACAGGAGTAATAAATACTTTTATTTCAATAAAAGCAAAAAATAGAGTAGAAATGTGAGGGAATAATTTAACTGTAGCAATTACAGAAATGTGAGATCTGCATTTCAAAAGTAGCATTCAATAATCTGTAAATAGTCTAACCCAGGGGTAGGCAACCTTGGCTCTTTTATGACTCGTGGACTTCAACTCCCAGAATTCCTGAGCCAGCCATGCTGAGGAGAAAGGGAGAGGTTTCCAAGCTGAGCCATGCTGCCTCAGGAATTCTGGGAGTTGAAGTCCACGAGTCATAAAAGAGCCAAGGTTACCTACCCCTGGTCTAACCAAACAAGAAAAATAGAGGATCGAAGCAGATACCAAACTGGAGAAATTGAGGAAACTGCACTAAACAGAAATAAATTTAGACCTCCATATGATGAAACTTTGCCTGCCAACATTTATGTTACTAGAATTTTCTAAGTTTATGCTTGAATCCTGAAACTAGTTGCATAAAATCCTTTTTCTTCAGATAACTGTTCCTCTGAGAACAAAATAAATTCCTAGGCTTGTCTGCCCTTGAATCTTATCCTCTTCGTTCTTATTGGAAGAAACAGTGATAGAGAATACTTAAAAGATCTCCCAGCTAGCTGGCAGAGCACTCAAAAGTAAGACCCTCCAATTATGAATTTTTTACCAGCCACTCAAAATTGTTAAGTCCTACTAATACACCCCAAGCTGCCTAAAATTTTGCACTGGGAAATTTGAGTATTATATACTGGATCCTATGTCCAAGATCCAATCACAAAAGTCAACTTTCAAGCAATCACTGCTTGTCTGAGATGACTACTTAATGAACTAAGTTCCATACTCTAACTAAGAGTGCCTAAACGTTTTGCCATAACATCTACTTTGAGGCACGGTTATGCGGTGGTTCTCCTCCTTCCTCACCGACCGCACGCAGTCTGTATTGGCAGGGGGGCAGAGGTCGACCCCAAGGCCCCTAACTTGTGGGGTGCCACAAGGGTCGGTCCTCTCCCCCTTACTGTTCAATATTTATGTGAAGCCGCTGGGGGAGATCATTCGTGGCTTTGGGGTGGATTTCCATCAGTACGCTGATGATACTCAGCTGTACATTTCCACCCCAGGCCACCCCAATGATGCCCTTGACGTGATGGCCCGGTGTCTGGANTATTCTTAATGTACATACCTCCTCTAAAAATTCAAACACTACAATGAACACAAATGAACAATGAAAAGAATACTATGAAACTTTGGGAAAGATGGATTTAGTGAATAATGTACAATTAAAAGCTTATTTGCACTTCCCTTGGACTCTGTCTGCACATCCACAAGGGAGATAGCCCTCACAGTTTGGAAAACCCTGGTCGACAGGATGATTTGTGTATATGTGCAAATCTACTTCTGAGATATCAAAGAAGCAGTACAGTTAATTCAGAAACCTTTCTGCTGTTAGACTACTTAATTATCACTCAATTATCTACTTAAAATCACCCAAACATTTGTTTGTAGACCCTGATCTCCCTTTTATGACTTTTGGAACATCTGTTACAATTCAACACAGCCTAAAAAAATTAGCAGCAAAAAAAAAACACAAAAAAGAAACGCAAAACAGACCATAGTAATGGCAGAGTTTCATCAGAGAAAGTCATTGTTAACCGATTTTCTTAACAATTAACTAAATATAGGATACTTTTTGAAACTGATATTGTACTCCAGCTGTACTCCATACATCTATATATGGGAATGAATTACTGTATGTATTCATATAATGATGTACTAAATCCTGTTTTGTACTTTATTTCCATTTCAAAACAGAGAAAAGATTTACAGATCAGATGTAGATCCCCTACCATAATGAGAACTAGATATAAGTCTGATTGAAAGCAGTGGGGAAAGTTTATTTATTTATTAAATTTATATGCCACCTGTCTAATTATCTAGAGTAACTTTGTGCAGCTTACAATGGCATAAAATCATTAAAACAATTAAGTAAAAGATTAAAAAACAAAATTTGCTATCATTAATCCAAATCCAACTCTTTTCAATAGGATTTTTTAAATTGGAAAGTTATTGATATCAGGCACTGTTAACCCAAAAATCAAGGACGTGGATTATAACTTACCAGAGGTGGGTTTTGTTTCTGAACTAGAAGATGTTGAACAGCTATTTGAATTGCCCAATGAACCAGTATATGGTGGTGGAGCAGATGGACCAGCCCATGTGCTGTAATAAGGAGAATGCCTGTGATCTAAAGGTGACCTAGAAGAAAATGATTCTGCTAATTAATTTGTTTTTTTGCATGTGTACAAAATTAAAACTTTAATATATGAATAATCTAGAAAAGAACTAGAAGGCCATTTAAGGCAAAGTTGCTCTTTAGCAATCAGCAAGTAATCATAGAATATGTAAACCAATATGTAAACAATTGGAATATATTCAATTATTCCAACAAACTGAGGATATCTCTTCAGTATTTTTTTAGTTCTATTTCTATTTAAAAAGGAATATTTCCAAGAAACACACTGATTTACCATTAAGGTATATATTGATATCAGGAAAAACTTAAGATTTCAAATTAAAAAAGTATGATCAGAACTCATACAAATTCAGTACAAAAGTCATACAAGCTGCATAATACATGCAAAAGGCTAAAAAAAACTTTTTAAAAAGTCCACTAAAAATAACAGTCATGCTCCATTGATTTTGGAAGGATATACAGAAGAATTATCAGTGAAAAACTGGGGAGGGGGGGATTAGAGACAGACAACTTTGAAAGTAAGTAATAAAAGCAAAATTCAATGTGGAAAAGACATAATTAATAGGAAAGACATGATCATATTTGTACACAGAAATTTGGGAGACAACAAATGTACAATAAAGAGAAGTAAGAATCTATTTAATAGCATCGAAATAACCAAATCGAGCCTTTAATTCTTATACTTATCAAAATACTAACACTCTTTTTCATTATAACCATTGTTATTAAAAGAAAGAGAAACAAACAAGGATTTAGAAAAACAGGTACTACTGAAGTAGTCGCCTTAAAATTGACAACTGTTTATATCTTTGTTCTCTGGAAACTGCAGCTTGTATTTTTAACTCCACTGCAGGAGTTTCTTCCCTAATGATGCAATATTAAGCAACCACAGGGCATAAGGGAAAGTGTAATGTATGATAGCTATTTTCTTTATTTTACAAGTCAATCCATTTATCACCATTTACTGCTGGGCTCTGAATTCCGGGTATTCTGATTAACAACCTACTTCTTCAGTGTTTCTCAATTATTCTAAAAAAAATCCTAGAGATACCTACCAATTGGACAACTATTAAAAAACTTTAATAGGCAAAAAATTCTTATCTTAAAATAAGGGTTCTGCAGACAGCTAGGTCACCAGCCCATCTTTGTATCTGGCGCTACTCATCTGATTGCTGATTGCAAGTAGTAATGAGTGGGATAACTATTTCTCAAAACATTCATAATCTATTGTTATTTTAAAAATCAACATCTAAACACAACATTCCATGTGGACAACTGATAGTATTACTAGTATGAAAGAAAAAAAATATTTTCCTTTGGGAGAAGCAATTTCCTTTCTGTCAAATAGGGTTGTTGCAAGAGAAGACAAGATTACCTTCGGTTGCCAAACAAATATCCAAGAAGTCCTCCGGCACCTAATCCAGTCCAGAAACCTGGCCCTGAATTGGAATCATAGTTGGACCCACTAGCAGCTCCTTAATTTAAATAAAATTATATAGATTTAGATCAAATAATCTTTGTGATCAAAGCTCTTTTATAATTAAAAATATATATAAATAGGCTACCTCAGCAGATAATTGAAGAGTCTTACAAGCTCTCCAAAGTTTTAAATCAAACATTGATGTATAACCCTATGGAACTATTGATTTTACTGGAGAAACAGACTACAGGCTATCACTTTTTATCTCCTTATTTTCTAAAAGGGCAGGTATATTTCCTAGACTTTCGACTAAAGGACCAACTCAGAAACACAAGGACTTCTCATTTTAACTGTACCTGAAATGTCTACCAACTATATAAACAAGAGCATGGGCTAGACATGATACAAAATTCTATAGAAAATTCAGTGACCCCATTAACAATGATAATTAACAATGAATGAACCTCCTAGAGTTTGAAAAGTAGATTACCTATCAATGTTACTAATAAATGTTTTTGTTGTGATGTAAGAGATTTACCTGAGTAATTTGATTTAAATCCTGGCGGAGGTGGGCTTTGATAACTTTGCCCGTAGGATCCTGAATGTGCATCATCATTAGGGAAATTATGTTGTCGGTTATCACAGAGGAATAGCTTGTAGATGCCAAAAACAAAAACAACAAATAATATTACCAGGATCAATCCAAATCCAGAACCAACTGAATCATGAGAAGGTGCAGAATAATAGGTCCCAGAAAAAGTGTTAGCTTTTTGCTGTCCTTTAGTTAACTCTAATGTGTACTCCAAGCCACACGATCCTTTTAAAATGAAAGGGTCATCTGGATAATCGTAGCCTTCACAGCTTACTTCAATTTTTCCAAAGCGATATGAAACATCCAAATGTGCTTTACATTCCCACTGAAAATAAAAGAGAATTATTTTTCTACAATAAAATATGTAACAAAATTGAACAGACTTAAACTTGATATATTTTTAGTAATTTTATTAAAATACAATGCAATCTTTTTTTGTAAAAAGTTCTAATTAAAGCCTCATAAGTAAGCTTAAAACTCTAACAGAGCTTGAAAGAATGCACATGAAAATACTGCCAGACAGGAATGCTAACTGACAAACTTGTTAAAGTTGTTTTGAAGGAATACGGATTTACTTTAACTACTTTACTTTTTCTCCTGTTGGCAATCTTGCAGCCCCATTTTTCATTGTTAACTCATTGCATCTTCCTGGAGTCAGTTTTGGCTTGATTTTATATATATATAAAATATATATAAATTTGTTCTTCTCTTTTTAAAAGCCAGCCATTTAGTCAATTTTACATTTATACAAAATTTTTCCACAAGATAATATATTTTTCTTCATATGAAGAAACATACCTGCACATCATAGCCATCCCAGCCTTTGTTGTAACACTGAACAACCTCAGGGGTATATGCTGTACATCCAGCTGAGCCTCCGGTACATTGCAACTGGGGCACTGGAGATGTCCTCCGATAATTTGTGTACTTACCCTTATAGAGTGTCAGGGCTTGGACCTCCCTCAATAGGACTCTCTCTGACAGAATATAAGTATTATGTAGTTATTAGAATATTATATTATGTAGTAGATTTAGAAACACTAAGCAAGAAAATGAATACATATTTTAGGATTTTGTGAGTTTATTAGTGCCAATAAAGTTCTCAGAATAATTCCTGTTAGGTGGTATATTTTGATTACTTACAAATAGTAATCTCAAAAGTTGCTTTAATAAAAAATATATCTAAGATTAAAGTTAACATCTGTGCTCTGTAATTAATTTTGCTTTTTTTGTTCACCAATTATCCTATTTTATCAAGTATTCAACCACAAGTTTTCAGAAGTTCACAAGCAATACATAGGTACCTCTCCCTAATTGTTCAGTATATAATATTCAAGAATTGGTGAACAAAAAGCTTCAATTTGCTCCATAATATCCTATGCAATTACTTAGGAAAACAGCCCAATGGTGACTGGATTCCAACAAATCACCGTTTTACAAATTAAACCACAAGAGCAGTATTGGGGAAAACCCTAAATCATTCTTTACACACCCCAATGACTATATTTACACAACAGAGTAAAAACAAAAAACAAAAAACCAGGCACTAGTTAATAAACATCCCCTGCAATGGAGGCCTTAAACATTTAATTCTGTTAAAAACATGGAGCAGTGGGGGCGTTTATGGATTCATGTGACATCTAAACCCAACCGGTGTCTTCGAAGAAATCTGCAGCGTTTGGTTACTCGTGTCAATTACTACAAATGGCTTCTAAAATGTCTGCCTAGTAAGGCCGGCGCCCATTAGTACATCGCACTTTCCCCATAAAAAGCTGGCCCGGGGACCAAGAAATGGCCCTCACTCCTCCAGAAAGATGCTGTTTCAGGACCGAAAACCCTCTGAACCAGACACGAGCGTCAAGTCACTGACGCCGATAGCAACGATTCCTCCCCGACCGTCGCGAACCGAGAGGCAGGCTTCCTAAAGTGGGTCGCTCGGGGAGCCCATCCCTCGCCTTACCCGGCTGTTGCCAGCCCATCGCGACGTACGTTCCCGTCAGCACCACCAACAGCGGCAAAAGCAGCCGCCCCGGAGACGCCTCCATTTTAGCCCTTTCACTGAGAAACGAAGAGCCACAGCTCCAGCCTTTTTCGCCTATGACAACGGGCCTCGCGGCTCCGCCCTCGGCGACGCTGATTGGCTCTTCGGGTTGCCTTTCTAAGGCAAGCGACCGTTTCGTCAGCTGGCGATGAGACCCGGCAGCGCCATCTCGAGAGAAGCGAGCTCGGTTCCGCGCTAGAGTTACTGAGCGGAAGGAAATCTTATCAGGACAATGGAACGCTAGGAAAGCCTCGCTGTCAACCAGCCATCCTATTGGCTCACAGGCGCCGCCCAGGAAAGTCAGTATAACACAAAATCTATGTACGCTCAGAACAACCAATGGAGTTGTTGATGGATGTTTACAATCGGTTTGTCCTCTTCCGGTGAGTCATCGGCAGCGAAGAATGACTTTACTTTAAAGGGTATTGTTGTACGCCGCCCAGAGTCACTTCTGTTGAGATGGGCGGCTGTATAAATTTGATAAACAAATAAATCTGTGTTGCACTTCTGAAAGCAAGCTCGTTTTTCTAATCGAGCATCTGACTTATTCTCTGAACACAAACAAGAAAATTGTGCAACTTCTTAAATTACAAATGCCTCGTGGCAGGACAATTAGCCAGAACCAAAGTCAAGGGTGTGATTTCGAGACAAGTTGCGATGTTAAGATTGCTAAACGGTTAGGGGAAATCGGTCCTGTACTTTTTAACAGTCGCTTGATTACAATTTGTTGAATGAAAGCTATATATTTTGAAATGCTTCGTATTGAGGAACAGATTACTTCTGAATAAAAGTAATTTTAAATCATATTCCTTATTTATTTTGCAATCTTTATAACCCACTCCAACAACGTCTGACCAGGATACAAAAAAATGCAAAGACAAAACCAAAATACACTGTAAACAGCTAATTATAATTAAAAGCCATTAGTGAACACCATTGTTGCCCTTAAGATTAAAGCTAGGACTAAATTGCATCAGATTATTGCTGTTATTAATCTGAGATATGCGTATTCATTTGTAGCTACTGTAAGCATAATTGAGCTTTTGGGACTTGGGGAAAAAATAAAGATCTTCCTAGTTTTTTCACACAAATGCAGGTCCACTTATCATCCAAGTCTGATGTCATGAGTTGAAAGAAAGTGATAGTCAGCTTTCATGAGTAACAAGGTGGGACTAGAACTCACAGTCACCTGGTTTTTAGCCTGGTGCCTTAACCACTAGGCCAAACTGACTGAAAACTGGGATAATCTTAGATAAAAACAATGTTAGGATTTTCTGAATTTTTTTGCTGACATCTAATTATCTGAATGTTTCTATCCCAGACCTCATACCCCTAGTAAAATTTTTGAAACTTTCTATCGTAAGAACTGTGCTTACCTAAAAATAAAAGGTGGGTAAGTTTGCAAAATAGCATTTTAATCAGGTTTGCTGCTTGATGTGTCCTTTGAAGCTGAAATGGAAATTATCTGGAGATAAAATGACAGTTATCCAAGCTTTTTAGTTGGTTTCATGCAAACTCTGCTAATTATGACTTGAAATAATTATTGTAAGCAGAAAATTCAGTTCACATAAGAGGGAACTGATTCTTTACATGCAAAGTTTTAAGGCTTCACAGAAGATGTTATACGGTTGGGTTTAAAGTTCTTAAACAACTATATCTTCATTGTGTATTTTACTCTAAACTATTATACCATTTATATGCTGATTTCTTTTACAAAGTAAGAATTTGGGATTATCCTTAGAAACTAAATGAAGAGAAATTTAGGGCTGATAAATGATCTTTATATAATAATAAAGCTAAATGATGGAATTTATTGCCATCAATTGTGACCATCACCAGTTTGGATGGATTTCAAAGGGGACCAAACATATTAATGAAAGACTGTAATATTTATTTTTAACCCTACCTTTAGTTTAATCAACTTAAGGCGCAGCATACATACCTAATGTTCCTGCCTTTTGTGTTTTGCAGAATAGCCACCCCCCTGTGAGATGGGCTGAGCTAAGAGACTGCCTCAAATACACTATATACCCATGACAATTAGTTACTAAAATGTTCACTGCTTCGGAGCATCCATGTAAGACAAGTATTACTTGTGAGCTTCCTGAATGCATCTGGTCATGCTTTGTGTGACGCAGAATGGTAGAGTAGATGGATTATAGAGTTCTTATATTATTACTTTTTATTTTTTCAAAGGTCCTTTAGTCACAATAATTATCAGTATTTTACTATTTCAAGTAATTCATTTACATAACATTGATAACAATTTCTCAAAACAAATCTTAATATTTAGTTAGCAATTATTTCTGAACATACATTACAAAACCTAAATCAGTGGCCCCCAACCTTTTGGGTAGCATTGACTGCTTCGGTAGAAAGAGGTTTTTCTGCGGACTGGATGGGGCATAGTTTCACGTGCAGCCTGCATCCCACAGACGGGGCTTCGCTTGTTTGCATGACCCAGGTTCTGGCATGCCATGGTCGGTCCACGGACCAGGGATTGGGGACCCAATTTAGATAATTGATTAAAGTATGAAAATTATTTCTGCATAATGCATCTGTATAACTCCTCAAATGTTGTGCTTTTTAGACCAATTAGAATCAGTAGTAAAAAAAGAATAAGTATTCTAAATAAATGCTGAATCTGGAACTTTCTAGATAAAATAAGTATGCATACTTACACAATTAATTAGGCTTTCAGAACAGACAAGACCTTTTTGTGGCATAATAAAAATACTAGGTTGGGAAGATTAACAGAAGTAATTATGAAAGTAATTCTGGTGTCATCTTGTGTCTGCAAGATTAAGTTGGTGCATCTACCATAACTTCTATTTAACAATTATCTTAATTGTGCTAATTCATTGTTTTGTAATAAAAAAGCAGAAAAAAACCCTTTAATCATTCAGTCCATGTATAAAATGACTGCAACTATATAAGTACATTAATATATAGCAATGAAATCCCTCTTACAGTCCAACAATAATATATAAACTTTCCACAACTATTTTTGGAAATTTTGTCTAATAACCTCAGGTCTTAAAGGACTTTGAAAAGACAGAGTTGAAAAAAGCCAGAAGAAAATGAAGCAAATAGAGTAGAGTCAAGTTTCAGTAAAGTTTAAAGATTGAATTAACTTTATATTGAAATCAAAAGGCTTTAATGTTAACAAAGGTGGAAAGAAAGATAAGACCGCAAGCAGTGAAATGGATGGATTCTATTACAGTGTCAATGAATGATCTTTTGGAAGACTTGAAAGAACAAGTTGGAGACACATCATCATGAACAAAATTTATCTGGTCACTACTAGTTGAAAACGACTTGATGGTACATAATCAAACAATGGGTCTTCCTTCTTTTTTTAGCTTTTCTTTCCTCCCCACGTTTCGTTTTAATCATAGTAAAGTCTGTAGCAGGGGTCTTCAAACATGGCCCTTTTGTGACTTGTGGACTTCAACTCCCAGAATTCCTCAGCCAGGCACGCTGGCTGAGGAACTCTGGGAGTTGAAGTCCACAAGTCACAAAAGGGCCAAGTTTGAAGACCCCTGGTCTGTAGGTTCTTATTGTATTATCAACTTCTGTTGCCGAGTGGAGACAGCAGCAACTAGTCCCGTCCGTTACTGTCCCAAGATTTTTCTTCTGTTTCGGAAAATATCTCCTCCCTGGGAAGGAAAACAGGGTACACACACACGCGAAGCCTTATGCCTTATGTTCCAAAGGTACGTCCGCCGTTTCGGAGATCGCGCTTCGTCGGAAGTCTTGCCTATGGCTAGAGCGCGCACTTCCGGGGCTTGTCTAGCCGCCTTCCTTCCCCTTGGTGTTGGTTGGGAGCGGCCTGGGCGACAGTAATACTGTGGCAGCACCATGGCCGGCATCAAAGGTAGCCTTGCTGGCTTGATTTCGGGGAAGGGCCTGGGGAGGAGGGAAGCTACTTGGGGAGGGTGGACGGGATTCCCCCCCCCAGATCAGGCCGTTGGTGGAGGGGAGGGACGCCGCCCCCACCCTGACGATGACGCACGCCGGCAACGGTGGGGGGGGTGCGCTGCGTTTCCATGACAACGCAGCCTGCCCTGGTGCATGGCTGCGCCGCTGAGGTTGGAAAGCGGGCCTGCGGAGAGCCCCCTATTGTCTCCTTTTCCCTGCTTCTGCCCGGATCAAGCACTCACGCTCGGCTCGGCGCTGCTTGGCTAGGCAACCGCCGCAGGGCAGACTTGAAAAACACAGTGAGGCCTGTGCTTTTCACTGGACTCAACTTTCAAGCTATTAGGTCTAGGGTGGCAGCTCTAGAAGATGTCTGTGTTGCAGTTTGAGGCCGGATACGTGATTATTAATCCTGGCGGCTTGCATAAAACTTCCGGCTGCAGAGACCCATGAGTGCTAGATAGCGACATACACTAAGGGTCGTCTCGTCTGCCCAAGGCTGATGGGCGGAAATTAGGAAAGGAACGAAATTTTGGGCTCAACCAGACTTCACTAAATTCATGCTCTCCAGCAATATTGCAGTGCAGTCCCCATTTTTCATCTCTCTGAATGTAGATCCTGATGTACTCATTCTTGCAGCATCTTTAAGATGAAACTGATTTTTAGTGGGAGAAGCCTGGCAGGAAGAGAATACAATCTGATAAAGTCCTGTCACACTAGATCAATACAATGTATATTACTATTTGTGAAGTAGACTAATACCAGTACTCTTGTAGAGTTTTTCACTATTCCATTTGATAGAAATCTCTAATCTAAAGCACGGTACGAATACGTTTGGACTGCATATCTTTTACAGATAGGTTTGATAGAAGTATCTTCATATTTTGTATTAAAAAGAAGATTAAAAAGATGGTACTACTGTACTTTTAATAACCTTTTTTAAAAAAAACTATGTATTTTGAACTTCTAGCTTTGTTTGATGTGTTCCAATCAATAACCATATCTATGAATACCAATAGCAGTATTTGTGTGCATTTTATATTTTTATTTTTCATGCATGCCTGGAAAAAGGCTGAGATATGTGTCCTAAATAGCAATTTAGGGGAATATTACAAGGAGGACCATAAAAGTGACTTTAGGTAAAATGTTGAGATGATGATGATGATGATGATTGGATAGTGGATATGGCAGTAGCTGAACACAGCAGAATAGAAGAGAAAGAACTGGAAAAAATCACAAAATACCAAAACCTGCAGATCATAATAAAATGACTGTGGCAAAAGAAAGAAAAATGCCAATAGTAATAGGCACTTTGGATGAAAACTACCAGAGCAAAACTTGAACACTGTCAGCATTGACAAAATAACCATTGGTCAATTTGAAAGGGCAGCTTTACTTGGAACAGCTTAAATCCTGTTATGATACCTTTAACATCATCAGATATTAACATCTGCATATCCCAGGCCCTTGTGAAGTACTTGATAGGTGGATAAAAATGCCAAATCCTGTCTAAACACCTGGCTGACTGTTCAACCAACCCTAATATACAGTGTGAGCTGCCAGTTCTTTAACTGATATTGGTCTTCATATGCATTGAGTTCTTCCCAAGAACCTAGGATGTTGTAATGTGTCATTCCAAGCAGTGTGGCCTATTGTAATTGACAGATAGAAATTTTGTTAGTACACAAATTTACCAAGTTCTGCCCAAGAGTTTGGATAGAGCATCCAATCTATCGATAACTACTGGGACCATCAGGGCTGATTTATGCCATAATCTTTCAGTTTCAATTTTCAGATCTTATACTTTGTGATCTTCTCCAATTCTTTGTCTTCTACTATCCCCTAGTATTGTCACATCAATTATTCACTCTTATCCTCTTTTCAACAAGAGTTACATCTGGTGTGTTATGAGCCTATTATTATTATATATACAGTAATATGAAATCACAGCTACTAATTTTTTAGCCGGGGTTGGCCTTCATATACATTATTATTATGGTTGGTTACACAGTCAATCAGATGTTTAGGCTGGATTTGGCATTTTTATCCACTTATTGAATCCTATTCAAGAATTTGGGATATGCAATTCTTTCTTTCTTTCTTTCTTTCTTTCTTTCTTTCTTTCTTTCTTTCTTTCTTTCTTTCTTTCTTTCTTTCTTTCTTTCTTTCATGCCATTAAAGGTATTATTATTATTATGGTTTGTCACCCAGTCACCCAGATAGATTTGGCATTTGTATCTACCTATTGAGTCCTTCCCAAGGACATAGGATAAGCAGATATAGTTTATTATTATTTAAATAATAAGCTACTTCAATGAACTATAAAGATTATTGAGATAATGCCTATAAAATCTTATCATGCAATGTATCCTGTCAGGTGTTTATTGTTTAAAGAGAAAAAGGCTGTTTTAGCAAAAGAACTTTCTCCAGGAGTGATATAATTGTACCAGGCAAAACTTGCTAGAGACCAGTTTCAAAGCTGGTGGGAACTGGGTACTGCAAAGTGGGTGGAAACACATCAGACATTTGAATGAGCATACTTTGGCAAATATATATATATATATATCTTTTTTTAACCGATATGAGAGCCAGTTTGGTCTAGTGATTAAAGCACCAGGCTAGAAACTAGGAGACCATGTGTTCTAGAACTTCTAGTCCTCCTTACACATGAACACTGGTTGTGTGATTGAGCCAGTGACTCTCTCTCAACGCAACCCACCTTACAAGATTGTTGTGGGCAAAATAGGAGGATGAAGGAGTATTAGGTATTTTCACCGCCTGGAGTTATTTATAAAAATAATAAAGGCAGGATATAAATAAATAAGCCTATTTTTATCTGCTTCCCTCCTCAATATGGCAAGAAACTATATTGTTAGTTTTCAGTTATCCTACTGAGAGGGATCTTTGAGGGCTGCAAAAAGGCAGCTTATGGCAGCTCCATGGCTACGGATAGCCAAGCCTGCTGTAAAATCTAGTTGGATTCCTCCTACTAGATGACACTGTGTACAGGGCTACACTGAAGGATAGGATGATCCTTTAAAAACTTGGTGGCAGTGAAGCACCAATGAAATAAAGCAGATGTAATTGGTAATCATTGGCTATTATGACAGTGAACATGAATTCCAGCTTGCAATGTTTGAAGAAAGAAGATGAATTGATCATATTCAGGCATAGCAAAGTGCACACTGGATTACATTCACTGAGTTTCTTTAGAAGCTAGAAATATTAAAGTAAAAATTATCATAAATATTTGGCTATTGACCAGCAAGGTTACAGTTAATGTGGTATAAACTCTCTTGACTAAAATATAATATAGTCCTTACCTCAGAGTTAGTCACATAAATTTCAGTGACTCCAGGATCTTGCTTCCTCTATAAATTCATTGGGTAATCTCAGGCAATTCAGTTTTTCTCAATATACCTTCACCCTCCCATCTTTATAACAGCAATACAAAGATGGCTCAGGTATTTCTTATAAAGTCTTTTCAACATCAGTGAAAAGTTTTTTTAAATATCCCTGTGTTTATGATACTTAATGCAATATCAATTAATACACTATTAAATGTGCTGGTTTTCCTCTTGAAAAACTGTAGCAATAATACTGTATAACCTAAGGCAACTTGACAGAAAGAGGCAAATTAAAAAAGGAATGGTCAGAAAATCAATTATCAATGGCAATGTCATATTACAAAGCATAAACATATATAAGCTCTTTTTCATTTTATGAAATGATTACGCATATGAGCATAAATGTAATATAGAAAACTTATATATAATACAATTTATAAAAATTTATAAATATATAAACATATATCTCTAAATGGAGATAAGGGCATTTTACATTAATATGTTTCACTTTTCCTTTAAGTTCATTGGAGTTTTCTCTTTTTCCTACAATTGATGTTTATTGAAGCAAAACAATCATACAGGTTTGTAACTGACAAGGGTTTACATCTGCCTTTACAGCTTTAATCAGCTTATCTTTTGGAGGAGCTGTTGGATTAATGTTCCTGATGCTTGGTTGTGCCCTTCCAGATTACAGGTATTACACAGTATTTCCTTTTCTTCCCTTGGAATTTATAAAATTAAGTAAACACAGAACACCTGTGCTGATTTCAGTAAAGGTCTAGCAGCCCTCTGAGGCTGCAAGAGAGTGAAAGAAGGCAGTTTTTCCAAGCTAAGAATAGCCATTTTAAGCATTTATGAAATTATTGTTTTGTTTTGTCCTGTGAGCTAGTTTTCAGATCATTATGCCTAAATTATAGTAGCACCTTGATACTCATCGTTAATTGCTTCTAGGAGGCATGATGAGTACCAAACAAAATTTTCCCATAAGGAAAAATGTAGTGAGTTACAAGGCAGACAACACCGAAAGTTCTAGCTTGTGCATTGAGTACTAAACAAATGATGAGTACCAGGACAAAATGTCCACATCAAAATGCATTGAGTACCACATTTGATAAGTTTCAAAACAGTTGAGTACCAAGTACCACCGTATCTTCCAATGGGCATGTAACAAGCACATCTTTTCAAGACTTATACAAAAACAGAATTTCAGTCTGTTTTATAATTTTCAGCCTGATTTATAATGATAGGCAGATGGAAGTATTTGGAAGTACAATATTTTATTCCCACTGCCTTCAATTAATCACTTCTACTGTTCTGGCTGAGGGACACTTAAAGGACTATGTTCTGATTAGACTTCAGGCTATCACAATGTATTACACTTGCCTGCCCAAATCTGTCTGTTCAACTTCTTGTTTGTGCTCTCTGCACAGTATTACCTAAGGGTTCTTCACCTATGGAGAACCTATTCCAAAAAGCTACCACAACTTGATTAACATTATAGGTGAAGAGTCCTCCTGTCCCTAGCCATGTTACATATGTCATACTATGTATTTTGTCTTTGTGTGGTATTTTCGACTCAGAAGCAAAAATATTTTTAAAATTAGACAAAACAAAATAAATGCTAAGTTCCTCTATACACATGCACGGCCAATGGGAAAATAGATAAAATATTTACTTAAGAGTAGTGTGATTTTTGAAGCAAATATAAATGAAAGATATCTATAAAATAAAAACATGCCTTTTTATTTACTTTCAGCAAATATTGGCCACTGTTTGTTTTGTTCTTCTACACCCTCTCTCCAATTCCATACTGCATAGCAAGAAGAGTTGTTGAAGATACAGATGCTACAAGTAATGCTTGCAAGGAACTTGCCATATTTCTTACAACAGGCATTGTTGTCTCAGCATTTGGACTTCCAATTATATTTGCCAGAGCAGAACTGGTTAGTAATTCCTTCTGTTTAGCAGTTTTCCTTTGATGTTTGACACTTGCTTCCAGAATAAGATGCAGAAGTCTGTGGAGATTCAGGTCATAGTTGTCTCAAAGGTGGGTTTTTTTTCCAAAAGACAACTGGACTGTTTTTTTCCTTGAGGAAGACATTTCCCTTCTCATACAAGATGAGAACCAGAACTGATGAAGCTTTTTGGATGAGAAGTGAAACATCTTCCTCAAGGAAAAAAGCAATCCAGTTGCCTTTTGAAAAAAAAAACACCTTTGAGACAAGATGCAGAAGCCTACAAAGTACAAGTTAACAAGATTTTGTCAACCTAGGCAAACTGTCATTAAGAGCTGTAATGCAAAAAACAAACCCCTGAAAGTTCCCCAGATTAACATTTTATAAACCCTTTGGTATATAACATTCAGTCAGTGGGTGTTGGGCACCGCTTGGTAAAAATGGTTTGAGGGTGTTGAAGTTCAGAGGATACCAAGTTGTTTGCCTTCCCATTAAGTAACTAGGTCTAAGTGTTAAATAATTTAAAAATGGTTTGCATTAAATAGAACTATTTGTGAAAGGATGGCGTCTTCCCCCATTCACAGAACAATGACATTGTGTGTATGCCTGTAATAAGGCAGCTTCTGTATAGACACGTTTATGCTTTTGTGTATGTAAAACTTTGTCTTTCCTTTCTCCATAGATTAAGTGGGGTGCCTGCGCACTTGTCCTAACAGGAAACACAGTCATATTTGCTACCATCCTAGGGTTTTTCTTGGTTTTCGGCAGCAATGATGATTTCAGCTGGCAACAATGGTGAAAAGAGTTGGAGTGAGAACTATCAACATCTCATGTCATTCAGTGGCCATCCATACTCAAGAAAGAAGGGGCAATAAAGTGAATGTACTGTTTTCACAGAGGGGACCTGGGGTAGGGCACTCGGTAGCCGGTAGCCGCTTTTCTTCTCTTTTCACAAACTACATTAACATTTGGCTTGATTTAAATATTTTTTAACAGGTTGATGCTGTTTTATTTTAATACTTTATTTTGATGTGAGAACAGAATGCTTAAAATATGTTTAAAAGGTATCTTTTTTAAACAACCCGATAGCGGTATTTAAGTATAAAGTTGAATTTTTCACTATTGATTATTTTAAAACGAATGTGCAGTTATGAAACCAAGTAAGAAAGTAAAAACCAAGAATGGCACAATCCAGTCAAAAGTACGAGGCTTTTGACTGGGTCGTTAGGCACAGGTTTGGAAGTAGCTCCCGAATTCCGTAAAGGTTATGGTTATGCAGAGAATTGTGCATATGGCCTGTTGATTTTAATCAGAGAATTAAGCATGCGTTCGGTACTCTAATTCTTTTCTGAAAATAAGTTAAGATTCTGGAAAGCTGAATTGTGCCCTTCAAGAGCAGTTATGCATTTTGTTGTGGAATTTTGGAGAAAAGCTGAAATGAAAAGTATTCAGCAGCTGGCTGGTAGGTGTTTTTATTATTATGTATGAGGCTGAAAGTGTTCCATTTCCATTAATCCCGTTTAAATGAGTATGAGAAAATTTTTGATGATAATGGGATATCTTAAGTGTTCATTGCTTAAAAAGTTTGTCCAGCATACAAATATTTTGACAGTTTTTATTTTTGATTATCTGAAAGGGAGAGGGAGATGGAATTTTAATTTTTCTTGTGGGAGTAGAAGACGGGACTTTAATCTTCATTTTTAAAGTCTTTTCTGAAAACTCTTTGTTTATGTATTGTGTGGGTCAACTTTCTATATCAATTGTTTTTTTAAGTTTTACCAAAGGAAAGATTAATGAAACTACTGATTATAGATAACTCAGCAGAAGGAAACCCTGCACTAGGCATGTGGAAATAAGTGATTCTGCTCCTTTACTATTCACTTGCACCTATTACAACAAAGTATAAAAAGATAATTTCTGCTGCCACCCCCCCCCCTTTTTTTTTACTTTGTATATGGTATAAAAAGGTTTTTCAAATGTAGATTAACATTTCCACTGTAGATAACCATTTAACTGGAAGACTAATTACTGCATACATATACAGTCAGGGCTTGGCTGCAATTGCAAATCTTTGAATATGAACATTTTATAGTAATTCTGTTAATGTTTTAGTTTATGCACCAATGTATTAAATGTTAGATCAAAACTGTAGTTCTGTTAAAATATAACACATGTAATTTGCAATATTGAATATCTGTTCCATTCCACTTGGGGTTTTTGTTTCTATTAACCATAAATTGCCATGTTTTGTAGATATATTTCTTTTGTAGTCATACTTTCCTGGTAACTCCCTCATATGATACCTAAGTGTCTCTGTCTATGCTTGCATATCATTTTATGCAAACTAAGCAAGATTTGATACAGTCACTTAAACATAGTCCCTTTTTTTTAAACAATGCTATTGACATAGTCCTCTCCACTATCAGCCCAGTCCAGAGTGCCTTGTCTCCTCCCTCCTTGGCTGCTCAGTAGATACGGTATATGTGTTTCACAGTGTGTCAGATCCATGGTATAGGAGACAGGGGAATGCATGTAAAGCAGACATGTCAAACACAAGGCCCGGGGGCTGGATGCGGCCCGCGAAGTGGTTTCATGTGGCCCACGAAGCCATCCTGGAAACAGTGAGGGAACGGCCCCCACTACCTTGGCCCTGGCCCAGGCCGGCCGGGAGCCAATGTACAATTTTGTGCTGGCCATCTTGGCACTTGCCCTGGTGGACCATGCCTTGGCACTTGCCCCGGTCCCACCCCTTCTGCCAGAGACCCTCAGATCTGTCCCACTCCTGCCCAGGCCCCCACAGGCACCCTTGACGCAAACGATGTAGAACTGGCCATGCCCACCCAGTAGGCCACACCCACTCCATCCACGCCCACCCAGTAGGCTGCACCCACTCTGGCCACACCCACCCAGCCCCCCAAGGGCAACCGCAATGCTGATGCGGCCCTCAGTGAAATTGAGTTTGACACCCCTGATGTAAAGTTACTGTGCAAAAGTGTCCAATTACAAATAGTGCTTGGTACACAGCAGTATTTGGCTTGAAGAAAAAGGAGGGAAGAAGACAATTTGCTGATCTCTTTCTACTGACAGAACTCCATCCAGGGAAGTAAAAATCATGGCCTTCATTTGCAGACTTCATAAGATAAAGTGAATGTTACACAGACTGTAATAGTTATCAGTGCAGGATTCCTATGCCCCTCTTTTAAAATTGTATGATACAGATTTCAGATAGAAAAGTATCTCTAAAGCCCAATAATTATTACAGTTTTATCTATATTGAATCTTCAAAATATTTTTTCCTGAGAGTTAAAAGACAGAAAATGGGCAAGCACGAGTATACTTTGCAAAACCTGCACAGTTCTTTACATCCCAGTCCAACCTTTAAATGTCTGAATCCTAGCAGTCTTAGGAACCAGAAGTGCAACTTCTGCTGCATGATGCTGAGATGGATGCAATCACATCCCTGAAACTCCTTTGGAAATTCCCTGCACTGCACTGATGGTGGAATAATCTTTGCCACCAAATAGACATGTGAACTCATTTTGTGACACCCCCCCAATCCTGTATTGTACCAAGATGGGTTCTCATTTTTCCTGTACTACTCTTGCTTTCTGATAATGACAGGCTACTCTTTGAGAGTGCCAGCTCTATTATATTTTATAGTAATGTTTGTCGTCTTAATAATTTTGGGCAGCATTGTGGCTACAGACATACTGCTGCCTCCAATTATCAGGTGTTAAGATATTTGAGACATATGTTTTTTCCCATGTAATATGCACTGAGAAGCATTGCCATCCTACAGGCAGAAATTTTGATGAAAAAATAATAAACGATTGAAATATCCGATGGTTTTGGATTTTTAATGAGCATCCCTTAGCAATAAGATTTTTTATAAGAAAAAAACTGCTGCATTCTTTAGCAGAAAGGAATTTATTTAAGATTACTATTGGTCTTATGTGTGGCTTTTGGCATGTATTCTATGCATTTCATTACATGTACGTACAGGTAGTCCTCAAGTTACGAACGTTCATTTAGCAAATGTTCAAAGTTACAACATCTCGGCCAGAAAGTTACGTTATGTTGCAACATTACAGTGGTCGTTTGCACTTATGAATGACTGCAGAGACGCTGCAACATGCTACTTTGGTGCCACGCCTGAGAGTCCCGAACTGCCCATGCTCGCCTCCTGCACAGCCTTGGGTGCCGGAGCTCTTGTCCCCTTGCTTCCCAAAAGCATTCCTTTGCTAAATTGCAAGATGGCTCCTAAACAAACCTGCTTTCCAGCTCCGTCGTGTTTCTCTGCCGCCATTTGCAGGGAAACAAAAGAAGTTTGTGGGACTAAAAAAAAAAGTTGGAAGGTCTGATTGAACTTTTTTTTTTAGGAGGGGAGCTGCGTGTTGGCATGCCAAGCTCTCCAGTTCTGCGGCGGCGCAATTTGTGAAACGTAGGTGGGTTCAGCACTCCAGCAAGTGGCGGACAGGGCTGCGCCCGCTTGTGAAAAAGGCTGAGACTTGGCAGTGAAGGGGAGAGGCTGACCCGGTGCTTCTCCACCTCGCTGGACAAGAGCTCTGGCACTCAAAGCAGGAAGTGAGAATGGGAAGTGTGGGGCTCTCAAACATGGCACCAAAGGTAAATTAGCGGTCGTTGAAATCCCAAGCGGCGGAAAGAGGAGCATGGGATCTCTCAATGGGGGGGGGGAGGCCTTTGGTGGCCGGTCTTGTCCCTGCACTAGCCCCCCCCATGGCCTTCCCCACCCTGAAATACCTCGTGTGCACTTAATGACACGCACATTTGATTAACAAATGCGTGGGCCAAAGCAGGAGGTGATAGCATTCAAGTTATGCCATTCACTCCTACGAATTCTCAGGTTGCAATTGTAATTGGCAGGCTCCATTACATTCGTAACTCGAGGACTACCTGCATAATGCTACATTCAACAATTCAAATTCTACTACCACTGTGTGGCAAATTAGTCAGAAGGATTTGAAATAGCATTTGTAAAGATCATTAGCATTTCCTTTAAGTTCAATTTTTTTAAAAACAAAACAAACAGAAAAGTGTAAAACCACTTTGAGGTGTTTTAAGTGGGAACTCTATACAAATGTTTTAAATTAATAAGAAACAAAAAATTGCTGTAGTGAGCCATTTAAACCTAATCTAAAAGAGGAAAAGAGGAATCAAATACAATTTATCTCTAAGCTGAACCATGTCCCACTACTTCTTTCGGCAAGAATACTTTGTAAAGTATACAAAGCAGATAAAAAATGGAGGGAAGAAAAAGCCAACATGCAAACTACCTTGGTAATTTTTAATTTTACTATTTTTATATAATGCTTTTTTCCTTGTTCCAATAAACATGGGGGTCTTGTGTGCTAGAGTATTGTATTTCATTCAGCAGTGCAAATTGCTTCTGAAATTTTAAATTGCTCTTGAGATTCCATAGCATTCTTACCAAAAGTATCTCAATGGAAGCTTCCAATTTAGCCATTACTGGATGTATTCTTTTTAAATTACAAATTAACCAGAACACTTTTTATTATACGAAAAGAGAGCTTCCAGTGTAAAGATGCTGATATGTATTGCAAAATCCAGGTTTCGGAGAAGTGGGTTTGACAGAATTTGTAGACTAGGTTACTTTGTAGTGTAATAGTTTGGTACTAGAATTGGGAGGTGAAATTTCAGCAATCAAGAAGATTTCTTTCTTTAAAAAAACAACTGATGTCTGATTGCATGCAGTACATTTGGGAACACAGATTCTATTAATTAAATATCCAACTCACTGCCTAATATTCTCCCTAAAGGGAGAAAAATAAGGGCTGGCCTTGGATGACTCTATAGTTTATGTTTGGCTAATTACTAATTTCCAGGAATTCAAAATATAGAAGATTTTTGAATGCACTTGGGAACTTGGTCTTGTTGGATGACAAGCCCCTGGCTTACAAAACCAGATTTATTGCTTGGGTTAACTGGGAGTAATGACAGAAGGAAAATATATAGTACTAATCTATTGGACTGAACCCAAATTGGAATCCAGTTGTAAATGGATTCCATTGTAATAAATACAAAAAAATAATAACATCAAATGTCCAAAATAATTAAGAGTTGGAATGGTTTACAAAGTGTACTTTATTTGTTCTCTGCCACAGTTTTGCAACTAGTGCTCTGCAAAAACATTAGGTTGCAGATTCGAGTTAGGATTGGGGTTTTGGGGTGTTTTTTTGGAAAATGCAGTGTGGATCCTGCAATTTAGGTAAGAACAAAAGAGATTTAAAGCTGGTGACTGGGTATGCCTGTTTTTCTAATTCCTTTCATCACATGAAAATGTGATGAACAAATTCTAAAGGGCTGGGAAATTCATTTGGCTTCGTCTATAGTACTATTCCTTTTATTAACACAACATTAGGAGAACACAACTACATATATCTACAGTCTTGAATTCAATCAGGTTTATTTTGATATTTCAGTGTTGGAGGAAATAAAACTGCACGTGTATATAAAATTTTTGATATTTTTTTTAAAGATAAAAATTAATACAAAGTAATATAAACTAAGAAAAAATAAAGTGAAAAGTGCAAGGAACAAGTAAAATCAAATAAAGAAAAAGATACGAAGAAGTAACTTCTGATCTTTACAGTAATCGAAGTACAAATTTAGCTCTTACTCTTTGGTTACAACGTAAGTATAAAAAGCCGTTTTAATCAATTCTATTTGATCTTTCATATTCATATTTTTTATTAACATCTCCGTCTTCTCTCGTTTACTCTTGAAACCTGCTAATGCTAATTATGTTAGTTTTCCCATTAATGTTTCAATTCCCTTTAAAGGATCTTCCAGGAGCCAAACTTTCAAAGCATAAGTTCTACTGACACTTTCAGAGGTTTCCAGATTAGGGTGGCCCTTAAAGGGGGAAAAAAAAGTGACCAAAAACACGAAAAACTTTCGACGCGGAAGATATCTCAACAGTTAAAAAGCCACCTAGCCGCTGCTGAGCACGCTTGCGCAGTAGAGAAATCGCGACGCACCATAGAGAGCTGTACACGACAACAGAGCCTGGATCTAGAATTATTTCCGGTATCAAAGGGGTATGTTCAGCTGTTTCCTCTGCCTCCAAAGTTCGGTTACTTCTCTACCCCTGTCAAGATGGCGGCGGGCGCGGGGAGCGGAAGTGGTTCCGGCGCGGCCGGAGCGGCCTCGGTAGCCTCGCTCTGGAGCGAAGTAAATCGCTGCGGCCAGAACGGGGACTTCGGGCGCGCGCTGAAGTCCGTCAATAAAAGTGAGTGTTGCCGCCCTATCGGCGGTTACTCTCTATTCTTTTGAGGCAGACGAGGGTCAATGTGGACCGGCAACCCTCCGTGGTAGACAATTGCAGCAGCACAAGTGACGATGCACTTAAGTCTTCAATGGAGTTGTTCCGACTTTGCATGCTAGATTGCTACCTGTCTTTCCCCTGCCGTAGGTAGAACAGCGCCAAAGGAGTAACAGCTGGTCTTGCCTGCGGTGAAATTTAACTCGAGCTTGTTGTTCTGGACTGCTCCGCTTCTCTATTAAAGATAGAATTGTATCTGTTTTCACGCTGATCTCGTCATGAAGAAAACCTCGCCTCTGAGAATAGGTTGCTGGCTACTTTGCTTTGGCCTTAGACGATTAATGTGCCATTTTGCCCCAAGATCTGTGTTTACTTTCTGCAGTTCTGTAAAAGTGGTGTGACAGAATGACTCCTACTATTCAAAAACATTCTGTAATCAGGCATAGCATTTTATGGGGTTACACAAGCTTCCAAAAGCCGTTGCTACTCTAATGCTTCCACAAAGAGTGCTTCATTTCTGTTAACATGCTCTGCAAAATATCCATGTGCTTTGCATAAACCTATTTTTCTATGTTCATCTCAAGAGAGTTCTGATGGCTTTTAACAGCTGTGCAACAGGTTTCCTTACATGTCTTTTAGTCACTGAATTAGGAAAATGCTTCCTTTGCTGAATGGCTCCTTGTTATATAGCTTTTAAAAGGAAAAATGGAAAATAACAGCCTTTTATGGAAAATTCATCTGTAATTACATTAAGAAGATAGCCTTTCTTCATAATTGCCCTAAACAGCCATACCTTTTTAATGCTTCCAGGCACAGCTTAACTGTAATTAGGCAAAAGAAAAGTTAACTAATATTTATGATGATCCCATTCCCTAGTAGTATTAGAGTATTATTTGTCTCCTTTATCATACTATGTGAATTTAAAACACAGTTGCGTTTTAAATTATTTGGAGAAAATCAAGACAGATGTGGTTTCAATTACATGCAGGAAAGCCAGTAGTTCAGGAAAGCCAGTAATTATGTTGTTAGTGATTTTTGTCCAAAATAGAAATCTTCCACCAAATAATTTGCTTTCCAAAAATAAAATTGACCGGTACAAGAGCATATATTTTTCAGAATGCTCAGTTTATAAACCCAACTAAGTTTACAAAATCAAAGGTTTGAATAGGTAACAGAGGCAAACAGTTTTTTAGTATATATTTATTCTGTAGCTTAATGCATTGAATTTGTTTCTAGTACTACAAATCAGTAAGGAAGATGTGACAGCTTTACACTGCAAAGTGGTATGTCTTATACAAAATGGAAGCTTTAAAGAAGCCTTGAGTGTGATTCATACTCATGTCAAAGTATTAACTAGGTAAGTATTATTAAATATTATTAGACAACCTATCTCTGCTATGCTTTCTGAATTTTTTGAAATATGAAAAATAGATGTTCCACATTTCTGAAAAACATAGGGTTGCACTTATTTCAAAACACATTTGAAGGAAGTTTTTCAGAACTCACACAATTACTGTACCTCTGATGTTTATTAAAGCAACCTAGTCTTTCTCAATTTTATGAGCCTGAAAGAAAGAAATGGCTGCCTTAATAAATCTACTGATGAGATTGTTGAAGCAGTCATCTTTTTTCAGGTTTGCTCAGACATAATTATCAATGCACAGAGTTATATTTCTTATATGGTGACTTAGCTGCAACTATATATGATGATACGGTATATATTATCCCTCCTAAACTTTGTATCCAGTTCCATTGAAGTAAATCTCATATGAAATGATTTCTAGAATACTAGTAATATCAGTCCAGCAAAATATTGAATCCAGTTAGTGTGTTAAATATTCCGGAATTTCAGCCTTGTAAAAACATGAAATTGTCTGTGGGGATAGAAATAATATTATTCTCTATAACTTTAGTTTGTTTCCCCCATTAGTATAGCATGCATTGTTTTAGGCATTTTTTCCTATTTCGTCCATGGTTATCCCCCTTCCTCAACCTATATATTTGTTAAAGATCAGATATAATAATATAAGCCTTAGGAATGATGAGCTTTTAAATGCGGCCGCGCGGGCGGTGTTGGGAGCGACACGTCGCTCCCATGTAACGCCGCTGCTGCGCGAGCTGCACTGGTTGCCAGTGGCCTTCCGGGTACGCTTTAAGGTGCTAGTCACCACCTTTAAAGCGCTCCATGGCATCGGTCCTGGCTACCTCCGAGACCGCCTTCTGCCGCAGATTCCCTCCCACAGACCGGTACNTGCCTGTTTTTCTAATTCCTTTCATCACATGAAAATGTGATGAACAAATTCTAAAGGGCTGGGAAATTCATTTGGCTTCGTCTATAGTACTATTCCTTTTATTAACACAACATTAGGAGAACACAACTACATATATCTACAGTCTTGAATTCAATCAGGTTTATTTTGATATTTCAGTGTTGGAGGAAATAAAACTGCATGTGTATATACAATTTTTGATATTTTTTTTAAAGATAAAAATTAATACAAAGTAATATAAACTAAGAAAAAATAAAGTGAAAAGTGCAAGGAACAAGTAAAATCAAATAAAGAAAAAGATACGAAGAAGTAACTTCTGATCTTTACAGTAATCGAAGTACAAATTTAGCTCTTACTCTTTGGTTACAACGTAAGTATAAAAAGCCGTTTTAATCAATTCTATTTGATCTTTCATATTCATTTTTTGTTAACATCTCCGTCTTCTCTCGTTTACTCTTGAAACCTGCTAATGCTAATTATGTTAGTTTTCCCATTAATGTTTCAATTCCCTTTAAAGGATCTTCCAGGAGCCAAACTTTCAAAGCATAAGTTCTACTGACACTTTCAGAGGTTTCCAGATTAGGGTGGCCCTTAAAGGGGGGAAAAAAAGTGACCAAAAACACGAAAAACTTTCGACGCGGAAGATATCTCAACAGTTAAAAAGCCACCTAGTCGCTGCTGAGCACGCTTGCGCAGTAGAGAAATCGCGACGCACCATAGAGAGCTGTACACGACAACAGAGCCTGGATCTAGAATTATTTCCGGTATCAAAGGGGTATGTTCAGCTGTTTCCTCTGCCTCCAAAGTTCGGTTACTTCTCTACCCCTGTCAAGATGGCGGCGGGCGCGGGGAGCGGAAGTGGTTCCGGCGCGGCCGGAGCGGCCTCGGTAGCCTCGCTCTGGAGCGAAGTAAATCGCTGCGGCCAGAACGGGGACTTCGGGCGCGCGCTGAAGTCCGTCAATAAAAGTGAGTGTTGCCGCCCTATCGGCGGTTACTCTCTATTCTTTTGAGGCAGAGGAGGGTCAATGTGGACCGGCAACCCTCCGTGGTAGACAATTGCAGCAGCACAAGTGACAATGCACTTAAGTCTTCAATGGAGTTGTTCCGACTTTGCATGCTAGATTGCTACCTGTCTTTCCCCTGCCGTAGGTAGGACAGCGCCAAAGGAGTAACAGCTGGTCTTGCCTGCGGTGAAATTTAACTCGAGCTTGTTGTTCTGGACTGCTCCGCTTCTCTATTAAAGATAGAATTGTATCTGTTTTCACGCTGATCTCGTCACGAAGAAAACCTCGCCTCTGAGAATAGGTTGCTGGCTACTTTGCTTTGGCCTTAGACGATTAATGTGCCATTTTGCCCCAAGATCTGTGTTTACTTTCTGCAGTTCTGTAAAAGTGGTGTGACAGAATGACTCCTACTATTCAAAAACATTCTGTAATCAGGCATAGCCTTTTATGGGGTTACGCAAGCTTCCAAAAGCCGTTGCTACTCTAATGCTTCTACAAAGAGTGCTTCATTTCTGTTAACATGCTCTGCAAAATATCCATGTGCTTTGCATAAACCTATTTTTCTATGTTCATCTCAAGAGAGTTCTGATGGTTTTTAACAGCTGTGCAACAGGTTTCCTTACATGTCTTTTAGTCACCGCATTAGGAAAATGCTTCCTTTGCTGAATGGCTCCTTGTTATATAGCTTTTAAAAGGAAAAATGGAAAATAACAGCCTTTTATGGAAAATTCATCTGTAATTACATTAAGAAGATAGCCTTTCTTCATAATTGCCCTAAACAGCCATACCTTTTTAATGCTTCCAGGCACAGCTTAACTGTAATTAGGCAAAAGAAAAGTTAACTAATATTTATGATGATCCCATTCCCTAGTAGTATTAGAGTATTATTTGTCTCCTTTATCATACTATGTGAATTTAAAACACAGTTGCATTTTAAATTATTTGGAGAAAATCAAGATAGATGTGGTTTCAATTACATGCAGGAAAGCCAGTAGTTCAGGAAAGCCAGTAATTATGTTGTTAGTGATTTTTGTCCAAAATAGAAATCTTCCACCAAATAATTTGCTTTCCAAAAATAAAATTGACTGGTACAAGAGCATATATTTTTCAGAATGCTCAGTTTATAAACCCAACTAAGTTTACAAAATCAAAGGTATGAATAGGTAACAGAGGCAAACAGTTTTTTAGTATATATTCATTCTGTAGCTTAATGCATTGAATTTGTTTCTAGTACTACAAATCAGTAAGGAGGATGTGACAGCTTTACACTGCAAAGTGGTATGTCTTATACAAAATGGAAGCTTTAAAGAAGCCTTGAGTGTGATTCATACCCATGTCAAAGTATTAACTAGGTAAGTATTATTAAATATTATTAGACAACCTATCTCTGCTATGCTTTCTGAATTTTTTGAAATATGAAAAATAGATGTTCCACATTTCTGAAAAACATAGGGTTGCACTTATTTCAAAACACATTTGAAGGAAGTTTTTCAGAACTCACACAATTACTGTACCTCTGATATTTATTAAAGCAACCTAGTCTTTCTCAATTTTATGAGCCTGAAAGAAAGAAATGGCTGCCTTAATAAATCTACTGATGAGATTGTTGAAGCAGTCATCTTTTTTCAGGTTTGCTCAGACATAATTATCAATGCACAGAGTTATATTTCTTATATGGTGACTTAGCTGCAACTATATATGATGATACGGTATATATTATCCCTACTAAACTTTGTATCCAGTTCCATTGAAGTAAATCTCATATGAAATGATTTCTAGAATACTAGTAATATCAGTCCAGCAAAATATTGAATCCAGTTAGTGTGTTAAATATTCCGGAATTTCAGCCTTGTAAAAACATGAAATTGTCTGTGGGGATAGAAATAATATTATTCTCTATAACTTTAGTTTGTTTCCCCCATTAGTATAGCATGCATTGTTTTAGGCATTTTTTCCTATTTCGTCCATGGTTATCCCCCTTCCTCAACCTATATATTTGTTAAAGATCAGATATAATAATATAAGCCTTAGGAATGATGAGCTTTTAAATCCTTTATTTTATAATTTAGCAATTGCCAGTTGCCCATTAGAACTTAGGTTAGAAGATAAATGCTAAACCTTAGCTGTGTTACATATGCACCTGAGTTAATCTCTGAACTGACAGTTTTATCTATTCATTAAATCTCTACTAAACATCCTTTGCAAGGTTTTAATTCATATATTTACTCTTCAGGGGGGAAACTGCTGGGTCTTCTTAACTATGAAACATTTACAGTGCATTAAAATGATCTCAATTCAATTCATAATCCAATGATAATTCCAGGATGTTGTGATCATATTTCATTACGTATGCTCAAAATAGAATATTTTTATTGTATTAGGTTCAGATGTGAATTGCATCAATTATAATTAATCAATTACTGTTACATGCTGCAACTTTGAGCAGTTCCATAATATGTTTTGCCACCCACCCACCCACCCCACAGGTAAAATGTTAAATGACACAATATGTATATACAATATATATCAATGTTTTGAGGGAAATGAATAGTGAGAAATAACCTCCATATTTCGTTTATATGTTGCAGTGACTCGATAGCTTTTGAGAAGGCTTATTGTGAATACAGGTTGAACAGGATTGAAAATGCTCTGAAGACCATTGAGGGAGCCAGCCAGCAGACAAACAAACTAAAGGAGCTCTATGGACAAGTGGTAATTACTCCTTTGTTTCAAATGCAAAGGCCACCTGTTGAATTGGTGTACATTTAGTGATTATGCAAGTAAAAGAACTGGAGGTCAACCACCACTGCCCCATGTGTAGCACTGATTATAAAGTAACTTGGTATTACGTTTCCTTCTATCATATTAAAGTGTAATCTGGGACCCCAAGTGTGTGAAGGAACCTCTCTCCTGGTTATGTGGATAATTGTTTTTCTCGGCTGCTGCATATTTTAATTTTTGTACATGTATTTGTTTTATTGCTTTTATTTTTTTTATTATCCATTGTCAAACAGTGTACACAATTTTACAGAAAACTTTTCCCCCCGGAAGGTATTTTGATTTTTTTTCACAAAGCAGCTTTTTATATCTGAGTGTTTAAATGTTGTGAATATCATTATGTCCAAATTATTATCTTTTTAACTTCACACTTTTGTATGTACATGGTAGATTTATTCTTTTTCAACCATAGAGGAAAGAATGACATTTTGCTTTTCTGTTTGCTTTAAAAAAATATTTCAGATTGTGAATTGAGAGCAGATAAAAATATAGCTGCTATCGGTTAGAATTATTTTGGCTCAAATTGAGGAACCAGCTTTGTCCCAAAACTTGTAGAAGTTTTCTCTGTTGTTTTTGGAATTGCTAAAACGTGATGCTAAATAAAATGAACTGCAGTAACAGCATGTTTATCCAGTGATTTGATTTTATGTGTGTTTATTCTGTACCCGATTTACCAAGATACTAATTTTTCCTTTTTAGTTGTACAGATTAGAGCGTTATGATGACTGCTTGGCTGTGTATCGGGATCTTATCCGTAATTCACAGGATGACTATGAAGAAGAACGGAAAACCAATCTTTCTGCAGTAGTTGGTGCACAGAGCACCTGGGAGAAAGTGATGCCAGTAAGTAAGTTTGTAGTAATAATATACAGAATATGTGAACCACTCCTTTCACACCTCAGTTCTGTCACTCTGCAATAGATTAATTATATAAAGCATTTAATGATATATAGCATGTAATAATACAAGATCCTTACTCACCAGCATTAAGGTATAAAATGTCTAATGAGAATGGCGGGATTAAGAATGATTCCTGAGCCATAGAATTAGGCTCTGCCTTTTCATCAGCTCTAAGTTGGCAGCAAAATTAACTAAGAAAGCAAAACATCATCAATACATTCTTTTGCTGCATGAAAGTGTCAAAGTCTCTATAACAGGGGTGTCAAACTGCCAGCCTGTGGGCCGGACGCGTCATCGGGAAGCGACACCCACCCCATTGCCGGCAATGGCGAAAAAACTCTGATACGTTGCGTGACGTCACGTGACGTCGCAAGTTTGACATGTCTGCTCTATAATATCCTAGGGCAGTGTTTCTCAACCTTGACAATTTTAAGGCACGTGGACGTCAACTCCCAGAATTCCACAGCCAGCATTGCTGGCTGTGGAATTCTGGGAGTTCAAGTCCACATGCCTTAAAATTGTCAAGGTTGAGAAACACTGTCCTAGGGGGTAGTAGGATTTTTCCCTCAACTGTGGCATCCTTGGATCTCAGATCTCTATAGCCAAAAGGGAGCAGCAAACCCAGCCAAGATCAAAGTACCTACAGTGGTAATGAACAAGTTGTACCTCTTATCCGAGAGAACTGTGCAATGGCTAATTATAGTCATCAGTGACCCAACCATAACACTACCTTTCAGAATCAGTAGAAGATGGAGAGATACTTGCAGAATCCAGTGATGAAATAGAGCTTACTGGGTGTGCACTCTGAGAATAAGGGTTGCAGTCATTTTCTACTTTCAACAACATCAAGATATGAGCACATGTTTTAAGCATTGCATTGCTTTTTCATACCCTATTTCATACCCTGCCTTCTTTTAGATAGGAAGCAGACAAGCAGAGTTTGGGAGTTATTAATTTAATTTAATCAATTCTAGCTTTAACAACCCAAGTACCCCTCCAATAGCCAAGCAATAAACTAAAGCAAATGTCCTTTAGCATGACACTGTTATCCTTTAAGCAGGCACACAAGTTGAGAAATTGCACTATAGCTGGAAAGATACTATGCTGGAGAGGTAGCATCTTTTTATGGTGCTGAATAAAGATAGAGACTAGAGAGCCATCCGGACCCTGAGGGCTCAAAATATATTTGCCAGGCATTGACGTTTAGAATGGACATATTAGTAGAAGCCTTCCTGTGGATAACTTCCTAGGTTTGGTGGGTATGACAGAAACCTGTTCCACATCCCAATCAAGTCACTGCTCCCTTATCAGAGATCTCTCTGGTTTGGATCCAATAATGATCAATTTCAGTTTAGGGCATTGTTCCTTCAATCTGATATCAGTAGCAAAAGTATTCATTGAGGTGAGGATGGGTCTTGCAAGCCATTTAAGATGCAAACGTATGTGTGCTTTCCTATGACAAGCTATTTCAGGCCCATATCTTTATTTATTATTTGTTTATTTATTTATTTAGTGTATGGCATATCATACGTGGACTAGCAGTATATATTAACATTGTCCGTATCTCTGATTCTTGCCCATAGTCAATTACCTAATTCCTTCAAGCATAAGATACTACACTTTTCAAGTTCTGTCTGGGTTCCACCCCAGAGAACATATGTAGCTCAATGCACATTAGATGTTGAAGATCGATGTCAAATGTAAGGGAGGAAAAGCACTGGTGAATTATTTGTCTTTTATGAACAAGAAATCAGAGGAGACAAGTTTCCCAATCTGCAATTAACAGAGGATGGATGAATATATTATCTCATTCTTCATTGTCAGCAAGATGCTACCTTTTTACAATGCTTTCTGTAGTGGACCACTACACTGGCAGGTTTAAAGGCTAGAGTCCTATTAATATACATTTGTAAGGCAGTTCTAATATGGAGTTGCCTACTTTTATAAATAATAAAATAGGTAAGGATGCTTCTTTTGTAGATATATATGCTTACACTGATGTACCCTTGAAATACTGCTGTACGTCCCTCTCCCATCAGTTCAATCATTGGTGAAAAGAATTGTATTGGATTTACTGCAAAGTACTTTTCTGTCACTGGAAGATGGACCTGGCGCTCCCATCCTGTGGCTTGTGGTCCCATTAACTATCCGTATGACTCCAAAGTTGAGGTCCTTAGATGCTTAAGTGCATTATGCTAGCTATTAGACATTGTCCATCTATCTTACCATTTATAATTTGGTTGTTACAAAAGGATGCACAGTAAAGGAGGGATAGAACCACTGTTAGCTTAAGTATGTTCATGCAACTGAAGGGAAGGTTTTTCTTCCATGAGATAGGAAGAAGTGCTATCCTCTAGCTACATGTAGATTTCACTTTTTCCTTCAGATGATCAAAAAGGTACATTTTGAAACTACCCATTCATATTGGAATAGTTTAAATAAACAAGCAGATGCTATTTAAACTTACTCAAACTAAGTTTCTTATTAATTACTTTTGCTCTGTTCAGGAAGATCTGGGCCTTAAGGAAGCTACCTATGAGCTGTGTTACAATGCTGCCTGTGCTTTGATTGGGCAAGGCAGGTTGAATGAGGCAATGAAAACACTACAGAAAGCTGAAGGTAATGAGTAGTAAATTTAATTTATCATTTCCATTTTTTGAAAAAATATTTTGCGTTTAACAGCAGTGATATTCAGTTTCTGTAGAAAAATAAATCTGAGAAAGTACATTAAAAAGATCGTTCTTATGTCCTCAGTTCATTGCTTAATCCATCTGCCTAATTAGATGGCAGTACATAGCCAGACTCAAAAACAGATTGGAATCTGGATAATATCTGTGTGGACAAAACCAGGAGATTACAGAACTCTACCAGTGTTTTAATGTACCGGTACTTGTTAGAGCCACTTATGTACACATACTTCATATTCAGGGCAAACTGGTAATTAGGCAGAGAATAATGATATCACCTTTCACAGCCCAGTACTCCCAGATGTTTTCTAATATAATTCCATTTTTCTAGACTACTGGTTTGAATGTTCAGGTTGATGCTGCTACTTCTGTGCTGCTGGTGTAGACCAATGTTAAAGCTTGAGGAAATCCTAATAATCCTGGTTCATCATGAATGAACTGCATTCTGATGTTTATAGGTAGTTTGCTTTTTGATTAATTCTTCATTCCTGTCCCTAGAATCACTGCTAAAACAGCAATATCTTGTTCACATATCCAGAGTTTAATTCTCTGGATTTTTTTGTTTATAGCAGCATGAAGCCATTTAAAACCTTTTAGCATAGCTCTGTTTCTTATAAATCTTGCAACCTGAATGTTTGTGTTGGGGGGGAGACGTAACTTTTTGACTTGCTAACATTCTATCACTGCCTCGATGTTTGATTTGTGGTTTTGTATATTCCAAAATTAATTTGTTACACTTTCCCTGTAGATTTGTGTCGCCAGTCCCTCTCTGAAGACTCGGTAAGAGTTTAGTTCAATTGAATAATATACTTTTGTGCCAAATATGTTTAGATGGTTGGAACTGATGTTTGCTATCCAGAGGTTTTAATGTTTATTAAATTGATGGAGGTCATTTGTGTTTTGTATTTTATAACATGTTTTAATGGTGTCTTTACATATTTTATACCTATTTTGAATTTTAATTTAGAATTATAAACCTCATCAAAATGTAGTTTGAAATGTAATAAATAAACAGGTAAGCAATTCATAAGAATCCTTTCTGAGATATTCTGAAACAGCACTCTTTCTATTATGCCTTTAAGTAGCAACATGTCTTTTTTCTATGACTTCTTCATTAAAATGTATAGTGAAAATCTAGCTATAGGTTTGGTAGCAAGGTCTTTAAAAGATAAATAATAAAAACTGCCAGCTTTTATTGGTTTCTTGAAAGCATTTAAAAGTTTAAAGTACTTGCAGTTACTGATTTGTAGCAAAATATATTCGTTATGTTTGTAATTTAAACTAATAGGATTCAGTTATCATAAATCATGTGTTTCATATTATTTGTTTTAGGATGTGACCGAAGAAGACATTGAGGCAGAATTGGCCATTATTCATGGTCAAATGGCTTACATTTTGCAACTCCAGGGTCATACCGAGGAAGCACTGCAACTTTACAATCAGATAATCAAACTAAAGTAAGTATTTCTGTTTATTATGATGGTGCTTTTAACACTTTTTAGAAATGACATACTTACAAAAGTGGATATATTCTATTTTTTACAGACCCACAGATGTAGGATTACTTGCTGTCATTGCCAATAACATCATCACTATTAACAAGGTATAGAATTTTTGCTATAATACCTGAGATTTTTGCCACAATACGATACTGTTTTGAATGATACTACATTTTTGCAAAAATCTGCATTCTGCTTGCAAAGCAGTAGATGAAAAGATTGTTATAAGGGTCTTATAAAAATACCACGTTTATGTTAATGAAGCATTCCATTCTGTACTTTTCACAGGATCAAAATGTCTTCGATTCAAAAAAAAAAGTGAAACTGACCAATGCAGAAGGTGTTGAACATAAACTATCCAAGAAACAACTCCAAGCAATAGAATTCAACAAAGCTTTGTTGGCCATGTATACAAATCAGGTAATGTAGTGTTTAGTGGACTGGTTAAGGCATCAGGTTAGAACAGTGATGGCGAACCTTTTAGAGACCGAGTGCCCCAAAACTGGCTCCGCCCCATTCCACCCCTGCCCCGCCCCCCCGCCTTCCCACAGGGCCACTCACCGCCTCCAGGGCCCACCGTAGATCGCCCAGGCAGCCCAGCAGCGCCATGGTGGCCACGCCCTCTGCCCGCGCCCCGCAGCATCAACTGTGCGTGATGGGGTGTGAGGGCAGAGTCTTGTCTACACTGCCCGGCTGCCCTGTCCTTGGCTGTGCTGCTCCGCGTGGGCCACGCTCGGGGACGACTCTCCTCCAGGAAGGCTGCTGGTGAGGGGGTCGCAGGGGAGGCAAGGCTGGGGCAACGGCACGTGTGCCCACAGAGAGGGCTCCGAGTGCCGCCTCTGGCACCCGTGCCATAGGTTCGCCACCACTGGGTTAGAACTTGGGAGACTATGAATTCTAATCCTGCCTTGGATACAAAGCCAGGGTGAGTCAGTCTTTCTCAATCTTGGGAAGGAGGCAATGGCAAATCATTTCTGAAATCTTGCCCCAAAAACCTCAGGGTTTGTCCAGGCAGACACCAGGAGTCAACTCATTTGTTATGTCACGGGGCTTCGAAATATACAGCTTAAAAATATCGGAAGTGACTTCCTCACATAAGAAAGTAAACCTCCATGCATACAAGAATCTAACATGCTAAAGAAAGAGTAGATCAGCAATTTCCTAAAAAGCAGAGAGCTTATGTTAGAAGGAAGCTTGTGATACAAGGATCCTGTTTGTAAAGAATTATGTTCTCAGTAGCTTTTCTTTCTCAAAAAAAAAAAAAAGCTTTTTAAAATCTACCATACAATTCCATGCATTGCAAAGGTCTGTGGGTCCCATTATTTATGACAGTTGCACTGTCCCAGGATCATGTGGTCACTATTTGTAGCCTTCCCAGCTGGCTTCCAACAAGCAAAGTCAATGAGGAAAGCCAGATTTGCTTAACAACCACATGATTCACTTAATAACTGCAATAATTTTCTTAACAACTGTGGTAAAAAAAAAGTGGTAAAATGGGTCAAAGCTCCCTTAACAACTGCCTGTATACTTTTTTGGAAAATTATAATAGCATTAGCTCTTATACTGCCCCATAGTGCTTTACAGCACTCTCTGGGCAATGTCAGCATATTGCCCCCAACAATCTGGGTCCTCATTTTACCAGCCTTGGAAGGCTGAGTCAATCTTGTGCCGGTCAGAATCGAACTCCAGACTTTGGGCAGAGTTAGCCTGCAATACTGCAATCTAACCACTGTGCCACAGGGCTCTTTAATAATGCAGAGTCTACATAAAATTACTAGTTCTTTATTATAATTCCTATGCGTATATTATATTCTCTTTTGAGAAATGTTGGGCAAAGTTGCTACAAACTGGATATCCTGTTGAAGTAGTATTCAAGATATCTACGTGTTACCTATATGTCTAGCCTTCTTTCTATTGAACTGGTTTTCTGAACTTGCCAATTTTTTAATCTTACCTCTTAGGCAGATCAATGCCGCAAACTGGCATCAGGTTTACAGTCACAAAGCCCTGAACACCTCCTTCCTGTTTTAATCCATGCAGCTCAGTTGTGTCGAGAGAAACAACACACTAAGGCAATAGAGCTCCTCCAGGTATAGTTGGCTGCTTGAAAAAAAAGTACAGTAAATTTCCTCCATGGGGACAACTTAACATTCTGCTACAATTTTCCCCAATGGTTTCCTGTTAACGATTTTTTTTATTTTGATATTTCTGCATATCACTGAAAATCATTTCATTCTCTAATAGCCATGGCCCATTGCAAACATAATTCTTAATTACTGTTAACACTAACTGTATTTGTAGTCTTATTTCTGGTAGAGGCTCAAAAAATTCAATATAGGTTTAATGCTGTTAAATTTCTCATAGAGATCTGTATCAACTGACATCTTTCTCCTATCCTTGCTTAATTCCTTTTTACATTTTTGAGAATGAGCCAGAATTATTTGTCTTGTGGTTTTTAAAATTCATGGGTATCTTTAAACTGACTGGTAGCAATTGCTAGTTAGAAGAACATTTACAGTTTTGATTGTTAGTTGACAATAATCACGTCGGAGACACCGATCTTATACAAAGGTGATCTTGATGACATCTTAATCTATACCGACATGTCATCTATACATGACAGTTAATAGAAATATAATACTGTACTGCGTTACAGCTCCTAAGTTTCTAAGAGGAAAATTAGTGCATCTGATTTTTTTTTAACTTTCACATAGGCAATAAAGGAAGACACGATGAAGATTCATAACATTACTTGTGGTATAGAACAGAGGTCCCCAACCCCCGGTCCGTGGACCGGTACCGGGCCGCGGCATGCCAGCAACCGGGCCGCACAATCAAGCAAAGCCCCATCCGCGGGATGCAGGCAGCACACAAAACCACGCCCCCTCCAGTCCATGGAAAAGTCTCTCTCCACGTAACCGGTCCCTGATGCCCAAAAGGTTGGGGACCTCTGGTATAGAAAATGGGGATTGAAATAAATGTTCCTCTTTCACAATATTTGAATTTTGAGGGAAGTTCAAAGCCTATAAAAAGAAGCGCTTTTTGCATAGGTCATAGTTAAGCTATCATTAATGCTATAAAGCAGGGGTCTTCAAACTTGGCCCTTTTATGACTTGTGGACTTCAACTCCCAGAATTCCTCAGCCAGGCAAGCTGGCTGAGGAATTCTGGGAGTTGAAGTCCACAAGTCATAAAAGGGCCAAGTTTGAAGACCCCTGCTATAAAGACTACTACTTGCTATTAGTGGCTATTAGGCTTTGCAATCTCCCAGATCAGAGGCTTCATGTCTTGGATACTGCTGCTAGGAAAAACAGTGGAATTGTGAATCATCTTCTATGCATCTGATTAGCCAAATGCTTCATAAGTGAGCAATCAGCTTGATTCAGCAGAACTGCTGTCTTAACTTTTACAATTAGACTATTTTTTGTGTGTTCGCATTTAAGAGTTTATTATTGAGAGCTAAATATTCCCTTATGTGATAGTAACTTATAATAAAGTTCCTATTTTGTAGATTTTGAAGCAAATTAAATCTGATTTGAATTCTTCTTTCTGACCTGTAGGAGTTTGCAGATCAGCATCCTGAGAAAGCATCTGAGATTAAATTGACCATGGCACAATTAAAAGTTGCTCAAGGTACTCTGCCCCCATTTGCCAGTTTTTTAAAGAACTTTCATATGCTGATAGTAGCACCGTTACACTCTTAATGTTGTTTTTGCTCAATTATTACTTCTATGGAACATATTGCTGTTTTCTTGTAAGAATAAGCTAGCATTAGAAGAAAACAGTTAATTGAGCATCTGCTTTGGGGAGACACTTAAGCCAGAAATTGCTTCCTTTGTGCTTAAGGATCAGATGAATTCTTTGCTTAAAAGAAATATTATAAATTGAATACCATTTATAGTTGTGCATTTTGTATGAAGTTGGTTTTGCTTTTCAAGGACCGGGATACAGAATTATATAAATAATGCTGTGATATGAGCAATACACACATTTGATAAATAAATAAAAACTTAACTATGACTAATTAGCATTTCTATTCTGCCATCTCTTGTGCTTCTAAGATTTCAGAAGGCATTTCCTACATACTTGTGATATTTTTGTATTCATCAGAGGCATAAGCCTTCTAATTTTTTTTATTAACTTTTGTCTGCTTAAATAATAACTGATATTCCCAGAAAGCTGGCTTCTGCAATATTGTATATCTGCAAGCTGCCTAGTGTCGCTTCTGGCAAAATAGGCAATTTACAGATTTAATAATAAATAATTAAATATTGTGATACAATATTGCAGCTCTAACTGAAGATTTGTTTGGTGTAGCCCTCTTCTTGCTTAGATAGTAGAATTAATGTCTAATAAAGAACTGGATAAGAATATTGATAATTATGTCATTTGTTCTCTATCAAAGGCAGTGTCACAAAAGCATGCATCATCCTAAGGACTATAGATGAGCTAAGGCATAAACCTGGCATGGTGAGTTATAGATATAATTAAGCATATATGAGCTTAGTTATAAATTCCATAATAAAACAAGAAATTCAGAATTTTCTTTTGAAGTCATTCTAGCACAACTGACCTGATTTGTAAAAGCAATGACATTGATAATCATGGCCAATGTGTTATATTCATTTATGAATTTATAAACTGTCAGGATGACTCTTGTGCATAAAAACAAGAGTTGCAGCCAATGCAATAATAGTAATAATGAACAGAAATATACAATTTCAGTAAAAATTATAATTACAATAATCCTTGCATTGGGTACTTTATAGCAGTCTACTCCCAAAGGCCTTCTGGATCAGCTAGGTTTTTATTGGCAAGAAAATTACTTTTTTTGTTTATAAAATGTATACCATTTACTTGTTTGATTTTATTTTAGTTCTGAAGGATACTTTATTTCTTGAGTAGTGATTCCATTACTCTTGATTCCGTTCATTTTTACACACAATTTACCCAGTAAGAAAGTTAACAATTAAAACACAATGATAGTCTTTGTTTCAACGTTTATTACTTAAGTAAATGTTGTCTTTCTGCTATCGCCCATTCATTACTGAGTGGCTATAGGTATCAGCATTGGTGACAATGTATAGCCATGAAGAAGATATTGACAGTGCCATAGAAGTCTTGGCACAAACTATTGAATGGTATCAAGAATTCCAGGTAAGTTATAGAAGATAAGGTTGTAATGTACAATTATAGGAGTGAAAATCTTGTTTTTGAATTAAATGCAACTGTTTCTCTAGAATAGCAAACCCCCAGGTGTTTTATTTAAAAGATTTCTGTGATTTCTTAAGCAACTCTGGGTGGCTTACAATTACCATAAAAACCAATAAATAAAACAATAATAAAAACAATAAACAAAAACCCTTTTAATGGTCTCTTCCCTCCTAACTTTCAAAAAAAACAAAACACTGCAATGCCATAGTTATTCCATCAAGTTTTGGGGCAGGTTGAATATAATGTGTGATTTGGAAAATTCAGAGAAACAGCAGAATAACCTACTATTGAAGAAGTGCAGATAGAAATAAGCAGTAGTTCTTTCTTTTGCATAGATAGATAAAGTATGCCTCCAGTTATAACTAATAATAAAATATCCTCCAGTTAACAGAGATCTGATAAATTCTATGGCCTGGAATTATGCAGGTTATAACCCCATCTCAGTGGATTACTCTTGTTAGATATTGGAATAATTCTACAACAATAAGTGATTTTTTATAGCTGTAGCTTTGTTGATTTGAGACAGAATTGGTGTGGAACAGAACAGGGAAAGGATTATTGATAATTTGATCAATGTACTATTTTAAAAAATAGTTATCCAGTAAACTTGACATAAATACATGGCTGCTTCCAAATTATCTCTTGAACTTCAGTATTAAAAATGAGTTTCAAAGGCATAAATTTTCTCAGTGTTCTGTAGGATACTGTGCTGCAATAAATATTTATGTATAACAAAAATTGTACGCAGCCTTTGTAAATCCTTGCCAACCTATGAAAGTTCAATATAAAAATAACCAAAGATGATTCAAATCGGGATTATAGATTTGCTACTCAGATTGATACATGACACATTCTGAAAGCCCAGAGCCCAGGCATCATGTTAGTTGCTTTCAAATTAAACGAATACTGTATTTTTTTCAGCCCAAGTCTCCAGTACTTTTGTCACTAATAAGAGAAGCTGCTAACTTCAAGCTGAAGCATGGCCGAAAGAAGGAAGCCATCAGTGACCTCGAGGAACTGTGGAAGTAAGTCTTTCTGAGAACCCGTAAAAAAGAAGCTTACAGGAAGTGAGAAAGACACTCACAAGTATGCTCCCGAGCAAATATATTAAAAATAACATAAACTACAGTCTGTTAAATCCAAACATGGTAGTAATTGGAGCACTGATCAAAATTAGGCATGGTCTCACAGTGCAGAACTTTGAGGCAGGTGGACAAAAATAATGATTCTCCTCGCATTTCAGCCTGGCCAGAAGTATTTTGTAGAGATCATTCAGGAAACAAATCTCAAGGGTCCCTTGGTAAATATTGAAATTAAAATACACTGCAAATGTGAGTTTAGCCTATGTGCATGTTGATATAAAAAGCAATTTTACAAGTAACAAATATATAAACCTCTTAGCCAACATTCAGCTTCATTGCCTTTGATGTTTCATGATTCAAATTCCACACTTTCCCTCTTCCCCAAGAACAATTTCATTCTTTTGTTAGTGAATCACTGAAGTTGTTAAATTAGTAACACAGTCTTTCACTGTGTTACTGACTTTCACACAGTCAGTTTCACTGTCTTTTTAGTTAAACACAAAATTCCATGGCTCCTTGCCTCATATCTTTATCCTGGTAGTTCAATGGATAGTCTATTGAATTTTAAATTGAAACATTATTCCCTACACCAGTGGTGGCGAACCTATGGCACGTGTGCCAGAGGCGGCACTCGGAACCCTCTCTGTGGGCACACATGCCGTTGCCCCAGCCTCACCTCCCCCCATGACCCCCTCCTCACCAGCAGCCCTCCTGGAGGAGAGTCGCCCCCGAGCGTGGAGCATGCAGAGCAGCACAGCCAAGGACATGGCAGCCAGGCAGTGTAGACAAGACTCTGCCCTCATGCCCCATCGCGCACAGTTGATGCTGCGGGGCGTGGGCAGAGGGTGTGGCCACCATGGCGCTGCTGGGCTGCCTGGGCGATCAGCAGCGGGCCCTGGAGGCGGTGAGTGGCCTTGCGGGCAGGCGGGGTGGGTGGGGTGGGGACGGGGTGGAGGCGGAGCGATGGTGGGGCAGGGGGTGGAGCGGGAACGGGGCCAGCTTTTGGGCACTCGGTCTCTAAAAGGTTCGCCATCGTTGCCCTACACTATTCATTAGATTTTTTTTTATTGTCCTCAGACTAAACCTGTAGGAATGGGCAAACTTTTAATCTTCCTCTTGGAGAACGTATTAGCTGCCTTGTGATTCTTTCTAGTTTGCATGCATTTGATGTATAAAATCTAACTTTGGGTACTGCCACTGCACTAAGTGCTCTCTAATAAAAATAGATTTTTGGATGCATTTTAGATATTCCATCTTACTATTTTTGTATACAGTGGTCATGCTTTGTTACTTTAACCAATCTGTTGTTGAGGGAAATTACTATATCTGATCTTTGCAATAATCCTGTACAGCTGGTCCTGTTGAAATATTTTGGCAGATTTGGTAGAACAGAGGCAGCGCTTTCCACAGTAGTTGGTGGTTGACCTTGACTACCAAATTCGATGAGTTTCAAAGCAGTTGAGTACCAAGATACCACTGTACCATATTGACTTCTCTCAAGGTGGTTTCTGGCTGTAACTTGGATAAACTTACTTCATCCAGCAAAATCTTAAGTTTGTAGCCATGCTGATTCTTAAAATGAGGGTTGGGTTAATAAAACAATATATAAATCATCTTCTTAATCCAGCTGGATTTTCCTGCCTCTTTCCTGATATGGAGGTAGGTGACTAGAGCAGCACTGAGCTGCAGCTATGTTTGAAGCAAAAGATAAGGAGGCTACATAGTTCTTGAAATATTGCTTGTAATTCCCATGAGTTTTAGCAGTGGGATACTTTATGGTTGCTGATATCCAGAAATCCTTTCTCTGATGTTAGTGGAAAAGATATTTGATTAATTCAGCTCTTTGCTTTCATAGACAAAATCCAGATGATGTCCATACCTTGGCTCAGCTTATCTCTGCCTACTCATTGGTTGATGCTGAAAAAGCCAAAATGTATCCTTTCAATGGGGTCGAGGAGATGAGTCTATAGGCACTCTTTGGCCATTCCATCAAGTAGACCTGTTTGCCACAGTGAGGCTTTTTATTATTACCTTCCTGTACGCCAAATTATTTTTTATTCACCTTCATGTTGTTTGTTTCACAATTCAAATCATCCTTTTGCTTTTGTTTATCTATATTGTTATTCCTAAACTCTTTCCTTGCACTAGTCTTAGCAAACACTTGCCTTCTTCAGACACAATGTCTTTGAAAGTAGATGTAGATGCGCTGGAAAACTCTCCTGGAGCAACATACATTCGGAAAAAAGGCGGGAAACCCACAACCGAAAATCAGCAAAAAGAACAAGGGTAAAATAAGCTTTCTAAAATGATTATCAAATGAATTATAATCTCAAGCAAAGGGGATATGGAGAAGACCAGTTCCATAACCAAAACAAACATACTGGTTATACATTTCTCTCTTTCTTCCTTTTTCATTCTAAATCAAAGTCCTAAAATTCTTCTTCGGCAACTGCTAACTTCAAATCTTATTATGCATTTCATTTCAAACATTTTCTTGCTTTTTTTTTTTTTTAGACAAGGGGATGTTAAGAAAAAGAGGAAGAAGAAGAAGGGTGAGTGTCTTATTGCTACAGTAGTAGCTTTTTGTGAAACCTCTATTTGGGGACTTGGCTATTAGGACCTAAACACTTCCCAGCTAAAAATAAAATTTAAAAATATAGATTTGATTTTATAATGCAGCATTAGCTGTAGCCTTTCTGACTAAATTATTATTTAGAAGGTAATACATTTCTGATATCTAATTGTTGGATGAAACAAAGAAGACTTGCTGTCCTGCTTCCCGAAAGCAATTGTTTAGTCACAACTGGATGCAAGATTAGATAGATTTTTGGTAGGTTTTTTTAATGCATCTTCTGAACTTTTTTTTTTTAAAAACTGCCATGCTTGAAACAAATCCAATTTTTACGAGGCAGAATTTCATCTTTGCATAGTATGCTAGTTGTGTTGGTATTGCATTATCACAAAAAGGGACTTTTAAAAAAGGTATACAGACAATAATACAAAAATCATTGTCCCATACATAAAACGTTTAGGTTATATGAGTTTTGCAGTGGAATAAAACTTGGGGTTATATGAGTTTTGCAATGCAGCTGTTTTCAAACTGAGCATACAGACAATCATTCTATTCCAAATACTATGTAGGAAAACTGCCAAAGAATTATGATCCTAAAATGACACCAGATCCTGAACGGTGGCTTCCAATGCGAGAACGCACTTATTATCGTGGGAGAAAGAAAGGCAAGAAGAAGGACCAAATTGGGAAAGGAACTCAGGGAGCAATGACGGCAGCTTCCTCCGAATTGTGAGTAACTAGTTACCTAAACTTGTGGACTTCACTTTTGGGCCTTAGTGCTGCTCAAAAACTGATACAGGTAGTCCTTAACTTACAAACATTCATTTAGTGACCATTCAAAGTTACAACAGCACTGAAAAAAGTGACTTATGTCTGTTTTTTATACTTACAACCACTTGGCGACTGGAAGCCAGATTCACTTAACAACTGTGTTACTAATTTAACAACTTCAGTGATTCACTTAACAACGGTGGCAAGAAAGGTTGTAAAATGTGGCAAAACAACTGTTTTGCTTAGCAGTGGAAATTTTGAGCTCAGTTGTGGTCGTAAGTTGAGGATTACCTGTAAGAAGGATAAAGGGATAGATATTTCATATTAGGGACAAAAGATGATAATTCTTTGCCTTGATAAATAAGCACATCAACCAGGAATCAGAAATAATTTTATATTACCCATATAGTTGCGTTTAGTTAGCATATAATTAATTACAGTATATGGATTGAGAAAACGAAGGGCGAGGAGTTTTATGCTGTAGACAAGGGGGAAAGTAGGCAATAAAACAATGTTTTGTTCTGAATTACTTCTTGAAACAGAGCTTCTTTTGCCTGCATAGGTTTATTACATGGCTACTTCTATACACAATATTCTTAGATATATCTTTCTGCAGATGTTATCTTTTAAGTATTTTATCTTTAATGCTGTCCAGAAATTGTTTTCTACTGTCCTTGGAAAAGCAGAATGTGAGGCCAAAGTGTTGCTGCTAAGTGTTATCTTAAACATTCACCAATACTTTGTGACCCGAAATGCTTAAGGGAGATGATGTTGCGAGCTTGAAATAATTTAATATGGCTTCCTATTTGGTCCCACAGTGAAGCAGATTAGGCTTTTGTAAGTTTGAGTACAGGTAGTCCTGGGCTGCCCACTTAGCAGTTTGAAAGTATGCAAATGTGAGTAGATAAATAGGTACCACTTTGGTGGGAAGATAACAGCTGTCTCATGCGCCTTGGCTTAGAGCCATGCTGGTCACATGACCACAGACATGTTTTTGGACAATGCTGGCTCCCTCGGCTAAGAAACGGAGATGAACATCACCCCCTAGAGCAGGGGTAGGCAACCTTGGCTCTTTTATGACTCGTGGACTTCAACTCCCAGAATTCCTGGCTCAGGAATTCTGGGAGTTGAAGTTCACGAGTCATAAAAGAGCCAAGGTTGCCTACCCCTGCCCTACAGTCAGACTGGAAAGGGAAACCTTTACCTTCACCTTTAATCCCGGACTTAAGATTTTTGGTTTAATGATGGTTTCAAAGTTATGATGGCCTCAAAAAAAGTGACTTACGACCTGTTTTTAAAGTTGCAACTGTCACACAACCACCATGGTCGTGTGATTGTGACTTGGGCACTTGGCAACTGCTTGTATTTACAAAAGTTGCAGCATCTTGTGGTCTCGTGATTGCGATCTGTGACCTTCCTAGCCAGGTTCTGATAAGCATATTCAATTGGGGAAGCCGGATCAACTTAACAACTGTATGATTTACATAATAATTCCGTGATTCATTTAACAGCCATGCTAAAAATGGTCAGAACATTAAGTCTGATCATTAGATAAGTCACTTATGACTACACTGACAGATATTCTGATCCCAATACGGTCATAAATCGAGAGTTGTCTGTATGGCCTTCTCAATATCAGTATAGGAAGGCAAAGGACAAACCTTATAGAATCCATTGTTCTCACAGTATGAGCCTGCAAACAAAAGCGTGAGGTTGCAAAAAAACAGGATCTGTGAATATTCTCATTTTGTGAATGGATCCAGTTCTTGAAGCCTGGCTTTCTGTTCATATATCCCTTATAGCTCCATTTCTGCAGCTATTTCTGCTTTTTCCTGAGCAATTCTGGCAGACGTTGGAGAGAATGGAAGGTTATAGCTGTATTTGGGGAAATCAGCAACTTTTACCTTTTACAGTTAAGAGAACTCCATGGGAAATTTTTCTTTGTAAAAAGCTTTGAAAGGTTTTGTGGTAGCATTGAATGGTAGCATCATACCCTGAAGTAATCTCCATTTTTAGCCATCTCAAATTATGGGGCACAAGCTGTTGCATTATTGGTTCAGAAGCAAAGGATCTGTAAGAAATTTGGCACACCAAGCAGCAAAACCATCACAACTATCTTGTTTACTTTCCCACTGCTCGATGGGCTTTATTAGTCAAACTATATATTGCTGTATGTCTTTGAGATAAATACTCTACAGCTTAACAACAAAATTGTGTAGAAGTTCTTTGGTTAGATTTTGAACTCCGTACAGATGATCAAAGATAGTAAGTTGACAGATAACTTCATGTAGATGGAAATTAATCCTTGGAAAATAGCCGTACATACTAGTTAAATGCTTGTCAGCCTTACAGAGCTTTCTAGACCAGGGGTGTCAAACTGCTGGCCCGTGGGCCAGACGCATCATCTGGAAACTGCGCCCACCCCATTGCTGGCAATGGCAAAACCGCCCCGATACGTTGCGCGACGTCACATGACGTCGCGAGTTTGACATGTCTGTTCTAGACAAAGAAACCAATGCATATTGGTCTAAAATTTCTTTTATTACAATAGCTTTAGTAACAGAATATTGCAATTCTGAATGTGCTTCCCTCCCTCATTTTATCTATGAATTGGGGAGGTGGACTACCTGAAGTGTTTCTCAAGTTAGTTTCTGGGAAAGGACTCGGGTCCCACTTGTCTGATCATTGCCCTGATAGCAGTTCTTCCAACTATCCCCCAAAGCCATTTCCAATGCCCTCTTCAGTTCTTTGCAAGCAAAGGTTAGAATTCATATGTAGCTTTATCTTATCTTAAATATGTGAATATTGAAATTTCTTTATAGGTAACGTGTTTTGGTCTGTTCATAGGCTATAAACTAAAAATCAGCTTTATATCTGAATCCTAACAATTATCCTTGTTATTCTTTTTTTGCAGGGATGCTAGTAAAACTGCTAGTAGCCCACCTACATCCCCACGGCCTGGCACTATAACAGCCATTCCATCGGCATCAACAAGCAACATGATACCACCCAGGCACCAAAAGCCTCCTGGTGCAGCAGCAACAAAGAAGAAACAGCAACAGAAAAAAAAGAAAGGTGGGAAGGGAGGCTGGTGATCAGGACAAGCAGCTGAAATTGCTATATATTTTTTCTTATTATGAAAACTACGAGTATAATAAAGGTCAAACAAAAACAATATGAATTTTTCAAAATTGTGTTTGGTCTTTATAATTTTTACCAGAGAAAGCTTGTTTTTTGTTTTTGTATTAGAATCCATTGCTGTGTTAACGGCATTTCAAGAAGGCATTTAATTAAATGAAGGCTGAATAGCAATCCTAAGAAGGGAATTAAGTTCTGATTATTTTTTTTACTTGAAAATGTTTTAAAAATAATCTCTTTAGCTGGTTTTTGTGCAAGTTCATTGTCTAGTAGCAACAAGCATAGATTGTTGGAAACCTACATTTATGGCACTGAATGAGAAATAAGAAAGCCGAGGATTCATACTGAGATTCCATTCTTTTCTATGGCTTGAGTTTTGTTTTGATTATATCTTTGACATTTTGCAAGTTTTATTTCAGTAAATGCACCCAATTTAGAATATTCTAATAAAATGTTTAGATTAGGACTGTTCTGTTCCTTGTACAAAACAAAACTTTTTTGTGCACTCTCCTAATTTTTGTTAATATTTTATTTTTCCATTTTGTTATATAGTAACACAGAGTAGACTTAGAAAAAAATGTGTTCCTGCTTTTCTGTTTTGCTAAGATTACATTGTTAAATATATTTACCTACAAACGATTCCACTTCTGAATGTACATTTATAAAATGTTAGCATTCATCCACTAAAGCATTTGTTGATCTACTACTTAAAAATTTCAGTACTAATTTAACTATATATCTACTGTTTTCAAAGAGTTAATCATAAGAAAAGACAAACCTTTCAAGAGAAATAAGAACTTATGGTCATGATGTATAGATTTATAAATCTGCAGGTCGTAGATTTTGAAGAACAAAAGAGTTCAAAGAGTGTTAAGGTCCTCATTTGTTTATTTATTGGACATAAAACTAGCATTCTGGCTAAATGGTTGCACTTTCTACAGAGGAATTCTACTATATTTCTTTTATAGCTATATGTGAATAGAGTAAATTTGTGTATTTGCTCTTAGATTCTTGTTTAGTAATAATTGCTCCCTAATCTTATGGCTTTCAAGAAGAACTTTTCATTCAGTCCATAAATTTCATTAAATTGCTTCATACTGCCTCTGTCTGGAAGGATAGCAAGTACAGATTTTCTTTCAAGACTTCATTCAGTTTCTGTCTTGACACTAAAAGTTTAAACCTGATAAGCTATAAAAAAAGGAAGAAATCTAGAATGTCAGATCCTTCCAATTCGGTCTGAATCTTTTTTCTACTTTTTTTCCACACACATTAATAGCTGTGTCAATTCCATCACTGCAATTTGAAATCTTTCTTCCCCTCCCACCAGTTTTTTTTTGGATAATTATTGCAGCTGTAATCAGAATTTTGCAGAGCTAGATACATAGGAGTACCACAGATATATGTTGCTAAGGGAAAAAGATTTTCCATCTCCAGGATGGATTGGTTTATTTCTCTATAGAACATAATTTATACACTGTCTCACTTATTCAAGGCTATAGCTGATCTTTGTATGGTGCACTTATACAACATTACCCACTACACTGCATGTGCAGGTATTAAGAATGACATACAGTATAAGTTTTTATATAAACTATTTTAAAAATTCCTTTCTCACTCCTTTGGGTGTATGTGTCTTCTTCAATCCCGGGTCCTCTAGCAGAGGCCTGGAAGTTAAGACGGTTCGGCAAAAGATCTTAGCTGTTTCTAGCACTGCACTCTTCTGGACTGAGAGCTCTGATGTTGCTTCTGGGATCTGTTGGACTCACTCTCACAGCTTTTACACACACAGACATAAAACCTAAACTGAGAGAATGGCCCCAACAAAGGAAGGCACACAGCACCCATGGAGTGACAAGGGATTTATTTTAATTTATATATTATGACAAAACAACTAAACCTGTCCATAACATATAATAGTGCTCACTTGTTTTCTGACTATTGTAGTGAACTGTTGAATTGTAAAACAATTCAGTTTTACTTACTATCTTCTATTCGAGTGTAAAACTACCCTGAAAAAACATATTTTCCCAATAATATTTTGATAAGTTGCAACCCAAATCTCAAACTATAAATTGAAAACTACCACTTGCATATTGATAATGTAAAAGGCAATGAAAACTGAACATTTGAGTTTAGATATCGAATGCCCAACACTTGACACCAAAATGAAAATATACAGTAGGTTTTAGCTAGAATGATATCCAGCATTATACTGCAGTAACATTTCAGATGCTGTGTTATGCTTTTGCATTTTATCAGTTTCTGTATTCCTTAATTTTCCTTTTATGGACTATTAAAAAAGTAATTGAATTATGTTTATAACAATAATGTTTATAACAATAACAACAGTTTATAACAATAATGGCCAGTTCTTGGCAAGTTCCAACAAAAAATATATATAAGGGGGGGGGAGCAGAAGGGACAGAGGTTTTTAACTACAATGCACTTCGCAATTGCTATATCGTAACTAAAAAGGTGAATCTTGCAGTACTTAAACTTTTTTTTATGTCTAATTGGTAATGGCTGTTTCTTGGTGGGTAGAAAATATACCCTCTGAATGTGTTCAGAAAGAGCTTAGGTCTATGAGCTGTATTCACACTGAGGTTGTAACACTTCGATCAAATCGTAAAGCCATTCCTTGCCTAATTAAAAGAAAAAAAGGAAAGTGCATATTACTGTGCAGAATGCAGTTCCTGTACTTTTATTATGCTATTATGTTTTCTTATGTGTTTTCCTGATCCTACTTTTGCGGCATTTCTTGCAGAAAGTAAGTTTAGGCCATACTGGGGGAATGGAAATGATAATAAAGCTGGCTGGCACACATGTATTTTCTGCTCCCCCACTACAAAGGTGGCCCTATAGAAGAAGGCTGCACTTGTTCCCTGTCTTCCATATTTGATGCCGATTCTAAATGTAATGAATAGCAGAAAAGCAGGTGTGGAATAGCTACATACATACCTCTTTCAAAACAGCTACATGCAGGCTGAAAATCCATGTATCTTAAGGATTATGTACAGTGAAAGTGGAGTACGGAGATTTGTATTGACCCATTTTGATTCCTAGACCAATACCGGTATTTGTCAACCTTAGCCATGTTAAGATGTGTGGACTTCAACTACCAGAATTCCCCAGCCAGCATGTGAAGTCCACACATCTTAATCAACCTAGAATTAGTTCTAGGAGAAATTTCCTAACGGTGAGAGCAATCAACCAATGGAATAGCTTGCCTTCATAAGTTGTGGGTGCTTCTCACTGGAGGCTTTCAAAAAGAAACTGGACAGCCACTTGCCTGAAATGGAATAGTGCAGTGTTTCTCAACCTTGACAATTTTAAGGCATGTGGACTTCAACTTCCAGAATTCCACAGCCAGCATTGCTGGCTGTGGAATTCTGGGAGTTATAGTCCACATGCCTTAAAATTGTCAAGGTTGAGAAACACTGGAGTAGGGTCACCTGCTCGAGCAGGGGATTGGACTAGAACAGGTAGGCAACCTTGGCTCTTTTATGACTTGTGGACTTCAACTCCCAGAATTCCTGAGTCAGCATGGCTGGTTCAGGAATTCTGGGTATTGAAGTCCACAAGTCATAAAAGAGCCAAGGTTGCCGACCCCTAGAAGACCTCCAAGGTCCCTTCCAACTCTGTTATTCTATGCTCTTAGTAAAGCAATCCTTTGGCTGCCCAGAGCATCAGAGAGATTTTATCACTTATCCATCCCGCTTGATTCAGCGGGAAGAACTGCTTCGCAAACGCGCAGCGAGAATAGTGCTTTAGACTCCAATTCCTACACGCGCGTTGGCACAAAGATAAGACTCGTGTGCTTGAAAGGAACAGCACGAAACTTCCTTCCGGCAGAGGCTGTTGCGGACGCAGCGGGGCGGAGCTCCAACGAGAAAGGGGGACTCGCCATCGGGCTCCGCCTCCGGATCGGAGGGGAGTGAAGTAACGTTCCCGATCTTGTTGCGTCCCGTCCCGCCCGAGCTCTCTTCTCTCGGGTCATGGCGGGAAGCCTGCGGCAGTTCGCGTTCGTGGGTACCGCGGTTGCCGTCACCGGTGGGGTCGCCTACGCTCTTTGGCGCAATTACTTATCCTCTCAAGAGCCTCCGGGACCCGAAGATCAGCAGGCTCGGCTCCGGCTCGGTGTGCAAGGAAGAGGCACAGGCCCGCCGGCGGGACAGGTAGGGAACGCGTGGGAATTAACTTCCAAAGCTCCTATTTAGAGTTCCCGTGCATTTAGGCACGGTTCTTGTCCGTAGAAATCGAACGGATAAAACTCTTAATTACTTATAATTTAAAAAAAAAATTGTAAAGCGTTTGCTACTTCTTCCTTTTTCTCATTAAATTGAGTGAAGGAAGAATGGTTCCGAGAACGGTATTTCTGGAAAATGTTCATAATCTCACTATACTGTTCTGGTTGGAAAGAGGAAAGCCGCGGGAACAAAACCAGTTCAACGTCTACTTTCTGGAAAGCGTTGTAAAAGTGTTTTTTTTTCCTTGTTTGTTTTTAAAGAAGATGGCTGTTGGGATTAAAAAATTAGGTGCTGGGTTGAAAGTTGGGGGAGTCAGCATCCTGCAAGTCAAAACATTTTGCTCCTGAGTAAGCACGGGTGGAATCAGACCACACTGTTGATGGGAGTTTATAAAAGAAGAATAATGGAAACAAATCGTGCTTTATCCCACACTTGGAATCTGGCAGTTGATTTTGATTCTAACCGTCACTCGAAGGAAATAACCTCTAGACGTTTTTGTAAAGCATAATTTTGTAAGGTATAATTTGTAAGGATTTTAAGATAGATTTACTTGGGGAACTAGGTTAAATTAGATTAAATTTATTTAAATTAATGTAGAATTTTAATTAATTAAAATTAATTGGGGAGTTAGTTTAAATGTGCCAATATAGCACTACCCTAACAGAAGAATTGGTGTTCAGGGTGTCTGCTAGTTATGTCCAGCATTAGAAGAACAGGTGTTGAAAACTATGGTAAGAAGTTACACCTCAACTCTGGTTTCCCAATGGGAATATTTCTATTGTCCCAAAGGGGTGCTTTTTCAAGAGGCAACTGGACTTTCTTATTTTTCTTTGAAGACGTTTCGCTTCTCATCCAAGAAGCTTCTTCAGCTCTGATGAGTGCTTGGATGAGAAGCAAATCATCTTCAACGAAAAACAAAGTCCAATTGCCTCTTGAAAAAGCACCTTTGGGACAACTATTACCTGGATGACTGAGAATCTCTATAGACATTTAGCTACAGTATATCTTTCTATTACTGCTGGATCCTTATCTGTTTGGAAATTGTTTGGGTTTTGCCTGAGGCATTGGAAACAAAAATAATTCTTCCCTCTCAATGTTCCACCAAGCATGGTCATAGCACATGATGCTCTTTTGTTTGCCAGCTTGATTACAACCTGATTGCATTTGAAGAATTTTTTTTGAATAAGGAGCTATTAAGAAGTTATACATCGACTAGTAGCTTTTCTACTCTAAGAGGTTTACACAAACTTAGCTTTTGGAACAACGTTGAGGGTGAAAAGTGGCCAAGAGTCTAACTCCAGATTTTCTAACCTCCTGGTACTTTTTAATTATCTGAAAGCAGGCATAGATCTTAACCATTGCAGATTTATTTATCTCTTTGAGATCATGAAAGGCTTAGATAAAACCAGTCAGGTAGAATCCTATTAATGCAGAGTGGAAAGAGATAAGAATAGAAACCTTCCAGAGGGTTAGCCCTCCTTTGTTTTATCTTGGTATATTAGCAATTTGAATGCCAGACCAACTCAGTAGTGAGCCATTTGGAATTGTTTCTTTCATTGCTGTTGTGTACCCATATCCTTTTCTTCACTTGGTGATTAATGTTCTTAAGAATATTCAAGTTCTTAAGATCTGTTCCAATGAAATGAAACTCCAGAAGATTAAGCTTAGCAGCTATATTATCATTATCACACATATTGTGTGATTAAAAACATCATATGAACAAGATCTCAGTACTCTTTAAGGTATTTTTTTTAACAACCCTAGAATTTTTGTCCATTTAAAGTCAGAGTGACTTTTTTTTGTTGAGTCTCTTAACTCAACAAATTGTAAGTAAAATTGTATTGTGAGTAAAATTGTATTGTTCTAGCAGACAGACTAATGAGATTTAAGTCCCTTATTGTTATAATAAAAGGTAAAAGAGTCCCTGTGGATTTTATTCCACTAGTTGTTACTGACTATTGGGGCGGTGCTCATCTCCGCTTCAAGGCCATTGAACCAACACTGTCCAAAGACATTTCTGCAGTCATGTGGCCAGCATGATGTCATGGGGCACTGTTACTTTCCCACTGATGTGGTACCTATTTATTGTATCTATTCGTATTTGCATGCTTTCGAATTGCTAATCTTTCTAAACAATTTTATGCAGTTTTATCTGATCTTATTTCACATATGTGCATATGTAAATAAAGGCAGGATAAAACTAATAAAACAATTGTTAACTTTTAAGGAATCTTAATTGACCTACTGTTTGGATGGAAAAAGTACATAGTTATCCTGTCAAAAATAGAAAAATAAGACTAAAAGGACAATTTAAAAGCTGGTAATTGGTGTTTTTTTAAGCATATAATAGCAAAAAATGATCCCAAACATCTGCAAGAATTACTACAATTGAACTGGAATTAGTTCAGTTCTGAATGACTTGTTTTTTATTTATTTCCCATCTTTATTATTCTTATAAATAACTCAAGGTAGCAAACATATCTAATATTTTCCTTTCCTGTTTTCCCCACAACAACAATTACGACAACCCTGTGAGGTGCCTGTATTGATATGTAATTGCTGGTGGATTTGGTAACCATTATGATTTTTTAGGACAGGAAACATTTGACCCGCTGGATTTTTTTTATTATTATACATTTGATTTGTTAAGGCAGCCCAACTCCTAGAAGACTGGATTTGTAGAGCTATTACTCAGAGCATCCTTGGCTATATTGGCTGCCAGGGTTTAGTGACCATTAGACTAGAAGATCACCAGATACCTATCCCAGCTGTAAATGATAATATCAGTAACATTTTCAGAATAATATGCATATTTTGGATAGCTGTTTATAGGCTTGTCTGTAATAATAGTCCCTTTCTATAGTTTTCTAATGTCTAGATTTCTAGGTGAACTTTTCTGCTTTTACTTGTCTGCTGAGAATTCTTAAGTATCAGTCAACCCACCTAGCTACTCCAATTAAGATCAGAAACAGTGAATTATCATTCAACAATTGCTATAACAACATTTGGAAAAATAGCTATTTCAATTTCTAAACACCTTTTGTCACTTGTAACAATTTTATGCTGAATTAGCCAAAATAAATCTACGTAATTAAAACATTTGATAGGTATAGTATTTACATTGAATAATGTAACTATGCTGACATGGAATTTTAACCAATTTATGTCTAGTCAGTATAATATGTATGATTAGTAACTAGTAAGTAAAGTTGACTACGTTGGCTTCCCTCATAACTCCATTATTTTATTTGTTCAAATGTCTACTAAATATTAAAATTAATCACACAGGTTTTACTTTTATCACATCTGTCTTTTCTGATCATTGTTTGGTCTTTTATTCTGTAGGATAAACCATCCAACAAGCAAATCTTGGTTCTAGGCTTAGATGGGGCTGGAAAAACCAGTGTTCTCTATTCACTAGCAACTAACCAAGTAAAGCGCAACACAGTTCCCACCAAAGGTTTCAATGCAGTGTGTATCAACACAGAAGAAACAAAGATGGAATTCCTAGAAAGTAAGCATATCTATCTTATAAGAAGCATTTTTTAAAAAATAAAATCATCTATTTTATGTCTTCCCAATGAAACACTGCTGTAGAAATCTCCCCCTCCATTTCCCTGATAAAATACTGGTGTGTTAAAGTTTTGTTTCCAATAAATATAACTACTTTATGTAAGCCAATACTTATATCTAATAACATTTACCTGTTTTCTTCATTGAGCCAAAATACTAGGAATACTTTAAAGTGTATTATAATAATTATGTTACCTTTATATAATTATTAAAATAAAGACATTCTAAAGAAAGAAAGGAATTATAAAACTCAGCAGATTATAGTTGGGTCTTGGTTCCTACACTTAGGTTTCACTTTTAAAGGGTTAAACTATGGAACGAGAGAAAAAATTTAAAAGAATATGATTTGAGTCAAACAAGATTTTATTTTTATACACACACAACCACACACACAAACATTCAATTTAAAAGCTGCTGTATCATAAGATCCATCCCATCCATTGCTTATTAAATAGAATCATTTTTTATTCTATATAACTTAATTCCAATTGAATGTGTGCGCTTTAACCTTAGTATTTTTCTGCTATATTTTGAATTATGGATGATAACTGTTGGGAAGATTTTTCTATCATGTGCTTCAGCATTTCCGGGAAATGAATTTGAAATGCAGCTGCTTCCTGTTGAAAGTTTTGGTATGTGGATGGGAGTTTTAATTGATAACTGCTGATTGTGTTCCTATATTATTGATTTACAGTTGGGGGCAGTGAGTCTTTAAGAGAGTATTGGAAGATGTATATGCCGAGAATCCTGCTGCTGATCTATGTTGTAGACTCAGCAGATCATGAACGCTTCCCAGTTGCAAAAACACTGCTTCATCAGCTGGTCCATAATAACTCTACATTGCCAGTAATGATTCTAGCCAATAAGCAGGTAAATATAAGCTGTAGAACCCATAGCAGAAATGGTAGCTTTCTGGTGAGTGTGTGTGAAACCTTAATACTATAATAAGAGTGTCATTCAATGATTTCTATAATGGTTCAGTGCAGGAAAAAAAAGAATCAAGTTTCACCTGTGACATGCAGTTGTGGTCATTGATTGTAATCCATTTGTCTTATTAATGGCATCACATTATTATTTATGCTGCATTTTTGTAAGTAAAAATAATGGTTTGGTTAAGACAAAGACCTGTTTTTATTTCTAGCAAAATATGAGCCCAGCTGTTCTCAATCAAAGTCAGCAGCCTAGCTACTATACTCCTCTATATCATGATGTACATGAGTAGTGTATGGTAGCATTGTTTGTTTTGTGACTTCAACTCCGTCTTGATTACTGGTGACTACCTGGTCTAGTCTCTGTAGTTTTCTTGCAAATATTTTTTGAAAATGGTTTGCCCTTTACAGCTTTCCTACAACTGAGAAGAGTGAGTGGCCCAAGCTGACCCAGCTAGCTTTATGCCTAAGGCTGGACTAAAACTCATGGTCTCCCATTTCCTAGCCTGGTGCCTTTATGCACTACACCAAACTGGCTCTCCATATAGGAGTATAGTAATAGTATAGTATAATACAGTACAGTACAGTGGCTTCAAATCCCTGACAAGCTTCCTGACCCATATTTTACAAACTTCCTGTACTTACACATGGCAAAGCATGTGCGATTTCTATCTATAAAACCTAAATACTGACTGTTATTCTCTGGTATAATTACTGTAGTCGGGATTATTTAAATCTGAAAAATCATTGGACTATATCTCAGAGCTAAAGAAGCAATTGTTGAGACAGATGTCACGAGGTGACTACATTTACTAAGATATTTGCCAAAGCCAGCTAACAGTAGCATATTAGGTAATGTTTCTTCTTCAAAACGTTCCAGCTTTCATTTTAAAAGTATCCTAGTTGTCTCCTGGCGGAGTAAACAAACACATTCTAAAATCCTGTAAAATGTATTTTTTTATTATGCAGTTTATCTTCTAATTTAACTTAGATTCTGCTTTTGTTGTCCTCAACTTATAATCATTTATCTAGCGACTATTCAGAGTTATGACCATGCTGAGTTACGTTCGCACTTATGACTGTCACAACATCCCTATGGTTACATGATCAGAATTAGGGCCCTTGGCAAGCGGCAAAGATTTACGATTGTTGCAGCCTCCCAGGGTCATGTGATCACCATTTGTAACTTTTCCCAGATGGCTTCTGATAAGTAAAGTCAATGGGGGAAATGAGATCTGCTTCACTTCATGAACTCAGTGATTCACTCAATGACCGTGGCAAAAAAGGTTGTAAAATCAGGTGTGGTTCACCTAAGGACTGCCTCACTGAGCAAGAGAAGTTCCAGTTAGAGGTCCAAAATATGGTCATAAGTCAGAGACTACCTATGGTCAATAACAGCAACTCTCAAATACCAATAGATCTTCTAATTCAGATGCCCAAGAGAAGGAAGGGTTTGATGTTATTTAAAAACTGATAACAGAAAAAAATGATAGATAAATATCAAAATTATCATCTCAGTAGCTTCCTGTAGTGGTAAAGGGCAGCATAGAAATTTGTGAGGTCTCCCAGTACAAATGCTGAGCAGAAATTACTTACTGTCACTCTGTTGTATTATTGCTGCAGATAGGAAGGGGATCCATCTATCTCCTCATAATCTCTATTATTTTGGTGTGATCTACTTATTCTCTCTTTTAAGATAGTTGCTAATTATTATTATTATTATTATTATTATTATTATTATTATTATTATTAAATTAAATTTATATCCCGCCCTTCTCCTTGTGGACTCAAGGCGGCTGACAATCGATTAAAAATACATAAATAACAATAATAATCAGTAAGTCATGTTATCAAACCAATAACAAAAATAATGAATCTTCAAGCAAGCCACCTATCACGTGCCAAAAGTCTTATGCCATCTTTAGAAGATTAATGTATAAGAATTTTGCTTGAATCTCATTTGGGATTTAGTTTCTCAGCCTCCGGATTGGGGGGGGGGGTGCAGCAAAAAAGGACTGCCTTTTTGCCTTTTGTCTTACAAGTAAGAACTGTGAACTTAGAACCTAAACTGAAAAGATCCAGGCAGATAACCTTTCTTTACCACAAGGCTTGCTAATTGCTTTTATCTTTTCTGACAACAAAAATCTGTACAGGACTAGTTAAGATGCAGGTGTAAGCTAAGTTGTCCCAAAGTTCCATTGTGCACAAAGAAAGGGATTGCATTAAGCACAAGATGGGAAGATGGGATCACTTGCTCCAGACTTCAGAGATAGAACAGATAGAATAGTAATTGAAACAATCTGATACTGTTCAACAGAGGACAAAGTAATATTACAGCATTTTAATCCGTTAGGATATTCAATTACAGAATTTAAAATTGCTATCTTACAGCTATCAAATTTCTCTAGCATCATCCAGCAAGAGATTGTTGAATTCATATCCATATCTCAGAGAATATTAACAAACACAATGGGTTTTTAATCTTGTGTATGTGTATGGACACACACTTTCAATCACTGTTAATTGCTGGTTACTGCCTGAATTAATCCTTGCAGGGGTTTTTTTGCAAATCTTTTAGAACTAGTTTGCTATTACTTCCTTTGTAGGGCTGAGAGAGAAAAGGTGCTACCATAGTCTTCCTGCTTTTTATTCATTCAGGAATAAACCTAATAAATTTGAATATCACCCTGAGAAATATTTCAGTATGTACTGTCTTTTACAAGTTCAGTGGGGGAAAAAAAGCAACGGGGAAGATTCCATTCTGAAAAGATTCCATGTAAAGAACATTATATGGGAAAGTTAAACAGAGTCAGATCTGGTTAAAACTTGGATGAGACACTCTCAAGAAATTGCAAAGCAGCAAGTAGATTGAAAAGAAATAATGGAAGAAGACAACTGTTTCCATATTGCATCTGTATCTAAATAGGAAACAGATAGAATAGCTAAGATTTGGAGCAGCCTTCCTTCAGGTTTGTTAGATTTCTTATGCATCTACCACAGTCCTACAGATCTCCCCCAGTGCATGAACAACAGAGGAATTCTGCTGCTGGGACATGACAGCATGAGTAGCCCAAATGTCATCAGTAAATTTGGTCTTTCTTGAATGCCTATATTTTAATTTAGTTTACTTATATATAGTGTGAAGGACCCATCCCATGAAAAGCTTGTATAATAAAACAATTCTTTGCCCCTAGGAATATTGTTTCTTCACAGTATTACTAGGTGTTTTGACAGATCTGTGAGAGAGATTATTGCAACCCTGCTTTGAAAAAGCCAAACTGAATAGATAAAATACGTTTCTTTCTTTTGTCGGACAGGATCTTGAAGGCGCACATTGTATCACAGACATTCATGACGCTTTGGCTTTATCTGAAATTGGAGACGAAAGGAAGATATTTCTGATTGGTACACATGTGGCAAAGGAAGGCTTAGAGATCTCTTCCGGCTTGAAAGATACCCGGGAACTGATTGCACAGCTGATGTCAGAAACTCTGTGATAATGAGGTGGAATGGAACGTCACAATAGGACATGCAGTAGCAACTATGAATAGCGTCTCTTCAGATCTTGGTGGCACCAAACCCTAGATATAGAATTGCTATGAAAACGGTTTTGAAATGGAAAGAAATGATTTTTTTTTGTTTAGAAGTGCTTTAGAAAAAAGAAGGCCAGTACGCTCCTGAGAGTCCAACATTTCTACATATAATATGTATTTTTCTGAAACCTATTTCTTTTTCTAGAAGGTTGTTCCATGTTTAATCACTCCTTCAATTTAAATGCATATTTCTGTGCCAGCTTTCCTTTTTTTAAAAAAAGTAGCACTTCAGAGGAGGCCAAAGTTGTTAGCCCAGCTAAATACTGATTTTCTCTTATATTCAGGGCATAGAGAAAAGATTATACCATATGAGTATTTTAGGGACTAGAGATTTCATGTTCAAATATCTGTATGGGCTATAAATTATTTTCTTACTTGGGGAAAAATTTAATGGAAAACATATATAGAAGTATACCTATTCCTGATCTTTCCTCGGGACACTCCAAGAAAGAATAGTTATGCAGAACTACTCCACAGTTTTCTTAGTATTATCTCAGTTTTGTTCATTAACAGTATTGCAGAATTCCATCCTGGAATTTAAAAGAATAGGATATAGTATTGATACTTTGGAGCTTTGATGTTCGAGGAGACCTCTGAAAATATCATGATTAGACAAGAAAACAAACTAATGGATTACAGAAAAAATCTACAGCTCTCACTTGAGGCACAAATGACCAAGTTCAAATTATATTTTAAACATAAGATGGACCATTGAGAAGTCTATAATGCTGGGAAATGTTGAAGAAAAAAGAAGAGGATAATTGGCAGCAATGATGAGGGACTTGATTATAGAAGTGATGGTCTAAATGTTAGGGACAGAAAACATCTTAGAGAAAGTCTATGAGATATAAGCATCTTAATCTCCACTAAACTGCATACTCACATTTCACCAGCTTTAATGTGTGTTCAGTTAGCATTTGGTTCTACCAATTTCCTCACTAATGTTTATTTACTGTTTAATCCCTCAAAGTCGTATCTCTCAAATCAAGCATTGAGACCTTCTTCAAAACTGGCTTTTCAATCAAATGACCAAATCGCCAAGGCCAGTATTAATAGTAGATTGTAATGGTAGCATAGGAGCCAATAATGAGGCTCTGCTCCAGCATTTTAACATCCCAGGCTTCTGTCTAATTGGGTTGATTCATTGGAAATCTAAACATAAGAGCATTAATATGGAGAATGAGTGAGAATTGATAGGAGAATGGGTAGAGTGGAGTTTGCTTCAATTGGTAAAATTTGCCTTGAAGGTCTTCAGTAGATCCATTCTGGGTAACAGGGTAAACTCACCTTTTGGGGCTCCAGAGTGAATTCTTTCGTAGAGTACATGCCGACTTCTGAAGATCCAGTCCTTTACTGTTTAAATTTTAGTATTAGCTTCCATCTTGAAAGTAATCACTTATCATTAGTAGACTCCCTTTTTTTGAGTCTACAGAATGAGGACAACTGCCCCTCAATCTTGCCCCCATCTGCTTTGTCCCTCATCTGATAGATATCAGCCAATAAGAGGCTAGTACAGTGTTTCTCAGTGTGATCCTTTCAGGAGTCTGCAAAATCAAAATTATGTGCCAGCTTATGTTGAAAAACAATACACTGTTAAAATACCATCAAATGAAGTGAGGCAGTAACAGCAGCACATGTCCATTTTAATTTTTTTTTTCCCAAATTTTTTTTATTATTTTCATCATAAAACAAACAATCATACAAGTAAACAATAATACTAGTAAAATCCCCCCAACCCCCCCCTCGGACTTCCCAAATCTAATCCCAGGATACTATTCATATATAAGTAAACAAATATTAGTATCTCTAACTCCACAAGATATCTTAATCTATAAAAAAAATAATAATAAAAAAAATAAGCAAAATAGCTAATAACCTAAATTATATTCTACCAATCTATACTTCTTTTGAATATAAACAATCCATCTTCTCCATATTGATAAAAATTGTTCATTCGAATGATTCTTCAGATAAACCGAAATCTTTGCCATTTCAGCAAGGTTCGACACTTTCAATCTCCAGTCTTCCATTGTAGGCAGAATTGGACTCTTCCAGCTTTGGGCTATCAACAAACGAGCAGCAGATAAGCAGTAAAGCATCAAATTTATTTCTTTTGCATCTAGATCTTGGACAATACCTAAAAGAAACAACTGTGGGAGAAAAATAATCCTTTTCTTAAAAATTTGCTGTAAGTTCCACCACAATTGTATCCAAAAAGCCTTAATAACCTTACAAGTCCACCACATATGAAAAAAAGTTGCATCTGGATGTCCACACCTCCAACACTTGGATTCAAAATTCACATAAATACGTGACATAGTTGAGGGATCCAGGTGCCATCTATAAAACATTTTATAAAAATTCTCACGTAGGTTTTGAGCTTGTGTGAACTTCACATTTCTCACCCAGATTAACTCCCAAGTGTCCTTAGGTATTGTTTCTCCTATATTTTGAGCCCATTTAATCATACAATCTTTAACTAATTCAATTTCTGTGTCCAATTCTAGTAATACGTTATATATCCTTTTAATATGTTCTTTAACACCATCTCTTACTTGCTTCAAAAAGTTCCCGTCTTCCATAGCAAAAGTAGTCTTTTTATCAATTCGCCATCTATCTTGAATTTGTCGATACAAAAGCCAAGAAAAGTTTGGATTATTTTGCTTCAAAACTTCTATTGATTTTAAGCACCAGTTACCACCACCACTCTGGTATAACAAATCTTTGTATGTAAGTCCCTCCATCACCACTCCTCTAGTTATGGCTTGAAAAATATGTGATGGTATCACCCAGAGTGGTAGCTTAATATCAAACTTAAAAAAATATTTTTGCCAAACTCTTAGCAGTGCAGTCCTTATTATATGATTTTTAAAAGCTTTATCAATTTTTTTCTGCATAAAAAGATAAGCATGCCACCCAAAATACAAGTCCCATCCTTCAATATTCAAAATCCGTTTGTTGGACAAATTAATCCAGTCTGTCACCCACGTTAATGAACAAGAATCATAATAAAGTGTCAAGTTTGGTACTTTAAGTCCTCCACGTTCTCTACTATCTTGAATAATCTTAAATTTGACTCTCGCCTTTTTGCCTTCCCAAATGAAACGATTCAAGTCTCTTTGCCATTCTTTCAAGTTAAGTTCATTTTTTAAAATAGGTATCATCTGAAATAGAAAAAGAAACCTAGGCAAAATATTCATCTTAATGGCCGCTATACGACCCAGCAGGGAAAGCTGTAATTTTTTCCACGATAATAAGTCTTTTTGTACCATTTTCCACAATCTTTCATAGTTGTTCTGATACAATTTCTCATTGGAGGATGACAAAAAAATTCCCAGATATTTAACTTTATTAACCACTTCAAATCCTGACATTTGCATAAGTTGATCTTTATCTCTAGCAATCATATTCTTAGTAAGAATTTTAGTCTTGTTCACATTAATCTTAAATCCAGCCACTTTTCCGTAGTGATACAGCTCTTGAAGCAAAAATTCCAATGATTCAATTGGCTGAGTCAATGTAAAAACTAGATCATCCGCAAAGGCTTTAAGTTTATACTCTTTAGTAAAAATCTTTAAACCTTTAATCATTGGAGATTCTCTAATTCTAGACAGTAAGATTTCCAAAGACAATACAAATAATAATGGGGAAAGTGGACAACCTTGTCTGGTGCCTTTTTGTATATCTATAAGTTCTGTCAAATCTCCATTAATAATTATTTGAGCACATTGTTTCTGATAAATCGCTTGTATGGCTGTCTTAAATTGATTTCCAAAGTTCATATGATCCAACATTTTATTTAAAAACTGCCAATCCAATTTATCGAAGGCCTTCTCCGCATCTAAAAAAATAAAAGCCGATGGCACTTGATTATTCTTATCCAAATATTCCAGTAGATTTACAATTTGTCTGATATTATTCTTCATATATCTTCCAGATATAAAACCAGTTTGATCATCATGTATGTAACATTGCAATATCTGCATCAATCTGTTAGCCAAGATTTTTGCAAAAATTTTATAATCCACATTCAACAAAGAAATGGGTCTATAATCCTTAAGTTCAAGAACCTCTTTCTCATCTTTCGGTATCAAAGATATAAAAGCTCTTGTCCAAGACTGTGGTATTTGTTCTCCCAGCATAATTCTATTAAATAGTATTTTTAAAGGTTGAATCATTTCAGCTGACAATGATTTGTAATAAATTGCTGTCAAACCATCTGTACCAGGGGCTTTACCAGCTTTCAATTGTTTAATTGCATTTAGAATTTCGTCTGCAGTGATCTCTTCATTCATAAGTTTCTGTTGTTCTGATGTGAGTTTATAGATAGATGAAGATTGTAAATATTTATCAATGTCCTCAATTTTTATGCCCCCTGAAGAGTATAGATGTGAGTAGAATTCTGTAAATGCTTTTTTAATCAATTCTTGTTGATATACCTCGCGACCCTTGACCAAAACTTTAGATATAACTCTAGCTTTTTGTTTCTTGCGTAATTGGTAAGCCAACCATCTCCCTGGTTTATTTGCATTAGCAAATGTGTTATGTTTAATGTATTTCAAGTTGGTGGCCACCTGATCAGCAATTAACATGTTAAATTGATCCTTAAGCATTTTAATAGAAGCCTTCAAGTTAATATCTGTTGGTCGCTGAGATAATAATTTTTCTTTAATCCCAATTTCTTTTTCCAAGTTCAATCTACTCTGTATTTGCTTATACTTATGTGCTTTATTCATAGAAATTAGTAGGCCCCTCAGATAGGCCTTACTAGCATCCCAAACAATATGTATAGGAGTACCTTTATTCAGATTAAGTTGAAAAAACTCTTCCATATTTTCCTTCAAAGTTTTGACCTTGTCCTCATAATTAAACAAATTTTCATTTATTCTCCAAGATTTCTTTTTTTTTGTTGTTGACCAATCTCTAACCATACCATACTATGGTCAGTTAGAGTTCTAGGAAATATTTTGGTTTTATTACAAGCAGTAAGTAGATCAGTTGATGTTAAAACAAAATCAATCCTTGAAAAGGATTCATGTCTGTGGGAGAAAAAAGTAAAATCACGTTCATTCATATGTTGTGATCTCCAAACATCCACCATTTCCAAATCCTCCATCATTGCAAAAAAAGATTTAGGGAGTCTGGAAAGGGCCACATCCCTAGAAGTTGTCTTTTTATCTTTTGAAGTATCAAGTACCCCATTCCAGTCCCCC